AAATCGTATCAACTAATCTATAAACTAGAGCACCTGAATGAAGCCCCGGAATCAATCCTACTGTTTTGTGGCTGGGAAGAGCCGTGTCTTCGGTTCTGTACACTAACGGATCTAAATCTCCCAACGGTGTTAATGCGGCGGTCTTGGATATTTGGTCCGGCTACAGACACCTTATGAAATTGCCCTCGGTAAGCTCTGTCTTCTCGCCATTAGAGAAGGGCGCAAATTCATTGCACGGCAAGCACCGTCCCAAGCAAATCTCAGACAGCCTCAGTGTGTTAATGGCTCTTCAGATCACTAATTTCCCCCATAACCCTACTGTTCTTGAAATAAAACAATTGCTAAGCGACTTAGCTTCGTCCACGCTTCACCCCACAAATATCTAATGGCATTAAAGCTCATCACAATAATGAGGTTATCTGTCGGCCAAATAAGCAGCACGTACAGGGCAAGCCACGCAAGAAATATCTTCACCAGACCTTCGTGTTCACAATTCTCATTAAAACATATTGGCAAAACGAGTACGACCGTTCAAAATTTTCCAAACGTAAATACTGCCTGTATCCAACCGGCCATCCAACCCACACCATGGTTTATCGAGATACATCGACCCAGAAGGGTCTTAGCTACAGTACGTAGACTTCGGTTTAACCATAATCGGCTCCCCCATCACCTATTTAAGATAGGATTTCGGGACGATGAATGTTGCGAGTGTGTCAGTAGAGCCGACCCAGATCACGTTATTCTGTCATGTACTCTCTCTTCGGTGAGCAGAAACCAACTTTTTAACACCATCGTTAGGAAAGAAATCCCCCTTCCGACCAACATGATATTAAGACATAACGACCTTGACGTTCTTGATGCTGTCTGCTACATTGTAAACAACAACATTGAAATGTAAGTAGACTACCTAAACCAGGCTCTAACACCTACTAATTATATTTATCCACCTTATAAACAGTTAGTTCCTGGTTACCCCTGAAATTGGGATGGATGCCGCCGCGTAGGGGGCGCCATTCCTTTCCTCACACTATTCGCTGCCAAAACTTAAAAGACTGAAAAACATCATGCTGCTCTTGTTTTGTACATGAATTTAGTTTGAAAAACCCAAATTTCCAAGCACCGAACCGCCTACAAGTATTGACGCTACTGTCATATTTTTCATTACTTGCCAAACTGTATGTGACTTATATCCAATAAAGTTTTATCTGTATATAAAAAAATACACCAATTAACAAATTATGTAATTAACAAAATGTAAATAAAAACAGCTTTTTCTCCTTTCTTCTTCATCCACCGTGGGCGTAATCGGAAATTTTGTGGTGTTACGCGTTTTGCCGGTGAACGGTACAGATTCGGCAACGAGCCGATCAGCGAAAGCGGTGAAAAATTGAAAGGAAGTAGAGTTTTCTTCTTCTTTTTTCCTATTCCGCATTGTGTCTTTTAATTTATGTACGTAACAGCCTCCGCTTTAATTTTGTAAATTATGGCCGAGGCTGGCCAAGTGTGCCGACCGGTTTCGGAACCGTCGTTGAATCAGGATCGAAGGTTTACGTTTTTATTTACGCGCTATTTGATAACGACAATTTTTTAAAAGATTTGTACATATCAAATTTCAAAGTCTAAAAAATTTATAGATTCATTTTTGCCTAGCTGAAGCGTTGCTGTCTGTCTAATTGTGAAATCCTGAGGAATGAGGTCACCAGGACGATAGTTACCAGTTAAAAATGGAAAGATTACCAATTTTCTAAATTTGATATAGCCTCTCCCCGGCTTTTACTGTGTAATAAACAAATAACGGCGTGCCATTTTCGTCAGAAACGAGCCTGGCTTGCTTTCCATTCTTTCCACGGGTCGTGAAAGGGTTTTCCTTTTCGCTTCTTTGCCGAACCTTTCCACTTTAATTCGGTTTAACGTCATTCTGCCGGCCTTGGCCTATGTTCGAAGGGTAAAAAACTGTTTTGCATTCCGAAACTGCCGCCCAAATAGAAAAAAAGGATCAGAAAATTTTCAAGCTTCAAAGTCGGTTTTAACACGTCTCCAGTACCAATTTGTTCAAGGAGCATTATAGACATTTTTCGTCAATTCTTCTACCATGCACTGTCTATAAATAGGGACGTGTTTATTTCAGAGTCCCGCTGCCGGAAGTACCTGTTGAACTAGAAGTTTTATTTACATTTATCCATTACAGTTTAAAATGTAAGATTTCCCTTCTTTTCACGAATTTTTCGGCCTTTTTCTTATTTAAATAATTAGTCATTATTCAAAAGTCTTGGGCGAGCATTGTTATAATAAAAGCCCCCCTCTTTAAAAAAATTATCAGGAAGAGGATAATAAACAATGACTCATTAAAGTTGTAACTTTTACTTTCAATTCGCGATACTGTTCTTCCAGTCTACTCTCCAACCTATTAAAAATTTGTTAACAACTTTGCTAACGATCACCTTTTCGACGTGTCAAGTGGTTTTGATAACACTAATAGCAATCCATAAAAACGGAGACGACCAAACTGGTCAGATTGACCAAAGTTGGTAAACTTGGCAAACCATAAAAAACGGAGACGACCAAACTAGTCTGATGATGGTGGTTTGTTGGCTTGGTGATGGTTAGTTTCAAAGGATGATTGATAGGTCATGTTTGCCAAAGGAGGTAGACTTGGCAATCTATAAAAAAAAGGAGACGAACAAACGGGCCAGGTTGGCCAAAGGAGCTGGATCCTGTCTGAATAGCCAAAGCAGGTAGACAAGGCAGATCAAAATGATTGGAGACAGCCAAGTTCGGCGAACTGACAACCAGGAAGTCCATGATAAACCACAAAGGATGGAGATGACCAAACTAGTCCGATTGAAAAAAGGTTGATGGATATTTTCAAAGGATATTTGATAGGTCGAACTGGTCACGTTTGCCAAAGGAGGTAGACTTGGCAATCTATAAAAAAAAGGAGACGACCAAACGGGTCAGATTGGCCAAAGGAGCTGGATCCTGACCGAATAACCAAAGCACGTAGACTACGCAGATCAAAAGATTGGAGACAGCCAAATTCGGCGAACTGACTTAACTAGGAAGTCCATGATAAACCACAAAGAATGGAGATTTTGGTCATTTTGGCCAATGTAGGTAGACTTGACAAACCACAAAAAACGGAGACAACCAAACTATTCTGTCTGACCAAAGGGAGGGAGATTATCAGGAAAAGAATAATAAACAATGGCTCGTTAAAGTTGTAAATTTTCTTACAATTCGCGAAATCTCCGAAACTTTCTACCAGTCTACTCTAAAGCCAAATAAAAAAGTTGTAAAAACATTGCTTGTTGCTAATGAATAAATCATCCGATACGAACTGTCAAGTGGTTTTGATAACAACGCTCACATCAATGAACGCGATAATTCACCCACGGAAAGAAAATAAACACAAATTATCGTTGCAATTTACAAGCGGCCAGCCTTAATTGATTATTTGATAAGCATATTTTTGCATTTTTATCGGTACTGTTAAATTTATCTATATTTCAGAAAGCCAGCGAAGGTTTTAGAAAATACACAATTTTTTTTATATATTTGTTATTATTATCGACAAGAGTATTGATAAATTTGTATTGATAGATCTCACAATTAGTTTTGAGTACCCATCGACCCTCAATTAGTTTAGTTATATAATATAAATTCTCTAGACTCCGAACCCTACTGTGGCCTTTCACCTTGCCACAAAAATGGGGCATCCAAATTGGGTCCTTACAGAGCTCAAAACTTGCTGGAACTATATTCGAGGCGTGAGAGAAGAGATTATAGATTGCCATCCGCAAGACTTAAATTGCTGGAAGATAACCCCAACAGAACCAGGATTCTGGTTGGACTCCTGACAGGGCACAACACTCAAGAAGCGAATGCAGTGAATAGGAGTACAGACAGAAGAAACACTCTTCAGATACTGCAGAAAGAGGAGACCGCAGAACACGTTTTATGTTTTTGTGAGGGCCTATGTAGGTGAGGATTATTGCAACTAGGAGAGGAAAAGCCGCAAGCAAGATCCTGCATTAAGAAGCCACTGGCAAGGCTATGTGGTTGATTAACAACCTAAGCTGGTCAGTGTGTTATAAAAAACAGAGGAGCACAATCTACTCGATCTACTCAGGTCTGGGTGCAGGACTAAAAGACCGAGTTGGGTGATTGTCGAGGCCAGCCGGCAATTTATTGTAAAACACAAAATCTGGAACTGCCTGTGGACCGCGAGAAGTGATAAGCTCAATTCTTGTGTGTAATACATACATGTGCAGATTTGATCTTATATAAATCCAGCTTTTTTATTCCACATTTTCATGAGCCCGCATTTAATTTCTGGTGTGCCCGAAACATTGAATAACTTACTGTTTCAGCTTTTACATAACATCACTTCCCGCTCTGCGTTTCTCAACTTCATACGGCAAAAAGTAGCACACGACTCCGCGATCCATGAATTTATTAGCATTTTATAACAAAAAATAAACACTTGTTGAAACAAAAAATCAATTTACTCATTATATTAATAAATAGTAAAATGAGGTAGAATGTAACATAAATACACTATATTAAAAATAAATGTTGTGTTTTTTTTTGCCTATTGGAACATATCCAATAGGCCACCGGTTGTAAAGTATTGGACAATGTTTTTGGAGCAAGTAAAACGAGCAATGTAGAATGTTAACAAGAGCGAAATAGATAGGACACATGCTTTCAAATCTACTTTTCCCTTTTTACTTTCCCGGCTCTGAAGGCGTGTTTAAATAATTGGGGGTCCTTTCTTTTTAAGACTAGCCACGGACATTCTCGAGGAAGTCTTAAGACATTAATTTCAGACACTAGAGGTGGGCATATTGTGCATTTGAGTTGGCGACCCTCCGAGTAAAATAATCCACATGAAATTTAATAACAAATTTAATTTTTTGACGAATAGGACGCCGCGATTGATTTTAAGCTTTTCGGCGAGGGACGAATTTTCCCCGGGGTAGGCCCGCCCAGCATACCTTGTCCCATGAAGCGCCTGCGGTCCGTCCCGTCTCGCTGGCACTGGAATCGGCGGCAGACTCTCTGGCGTATTGTTCCGACGGCACAGCACAAAACAGGAACTTGCCCGAGCGTGAAACGGAAAGGACTATGGCAGCCACGCGAGAGCCGCCGCGACGGCCCCCTCCCGCACGTCGCTCCCACTACCGCCGCCGTCGATCCTCTTTCTTTGACAGCCGACTTTTCACCGCGTACCCCGACCCGATTTTTATCGCGCACTCTCGTTTTTATTGCCTTGTAATGAGACGACTTGGAAGGAGAAAAAAACAGACAAAATTCTGCTTCGAATTACGACTTTCCATCCTTCAATTAGGTTTAATCAAACTTTGCGGGCTGATTGCATAAAATGAATGCGATTTGTTCATTGAATTGGAAAGGCCGCTTGGGAGTTCAGGCGGAACCCAACAGAACACACAGCCCACCGATAATGCAGGTGAAAAGCAGAAATGCGTCTCACAGAACAAAAACAATCTAGGGACGCCAAGATGATCTACGGCGACGCAAGTAACAAGTTCATCACCTCAACAAGTAAACTCATAATTGTTCTTATTTGAATGAACAAGTACAGCTTCGGCTTTCACATTTTTATCTTGTATACGACACAGCCCAGCCGCTGAAGAAGAGCCACTGATATGGATGAACGAGGTTGATAAACTAGCGGATCAACCTGTCTGAATGACTGACCAAAACAGCTAGACTAGGAAGCCCGAGCAAATCGTAAAGAAAGGATGATGACCAAACTGGTCAGATTGGCCAAAGGAGGTAGACTTGGCAATCCATAAAAACCGGAGACGACCAAACTCTTCTGGCTGACCAAAGGAGCTGGATCTTGTCTGAATAATCAAAGCAAATAAATTAGGCTGAACAACATGATTGCAGACGACCAAGCTAGTCTGACTGAAAAATTGTTCATATATAATTTTAAAGGACGATTGTGATAAGGTCGAACTGGTCACGTATGCCAAAGCAGGTAGACAAGGCAGATCAAAATGACGAGACAGACAGGTTCGACGGACTGACTTAACTAGTTACTACTATGATAATCCACAAAGGATGGAGATGACCGAACCGGACAGATTGTTCAAAGGATGTAAACTTTGCAATCCAAGGAGCTGGACCGTGTCTGAATAGCCAAAGCAAATAAACTAGACTAGTCAATACGATTGGAGATAACCAAACTAATTAGAATGAACAAATTTTGATGGAGTCTCAAAGGATGATTGAGGTGGACAAACTGGTCAGATTAGTGGGAAAAAAAAGAATTGGAAAACCATTAAAAACGGAGACGACCAAACTCTTCTGGCCGATCATAGGAGCTGGACCTTGTCTTTAAAACCAATGCAAAGAGACTAGGCAGGTAAACACGATTGGAGACGACCAAACTGTTCTGAATGACCAAAATACCTACTCATTTGACTGGTCAAAGGAGCTAGGCAGCTAGAATAGACTAATCAAGATAATTGGAGACGGCCTAATTCGTCTATTTTTCAAATAAACCGTTTTTGCATTGAATAGAATGACATCTGAGCGCATTGCAACAAATCATCTGTCGAAGCGCCAGAACCGTCGACATAACAAAACAAGGATCAGCCTATTTTCAATATTTTATTCGCAAGTATGGCAGAACAGTTTGGTCTGAAATACTAGTAATAAACTCACTAACTTAGTCTGCATCATAAGCTTCGTTTTTGTTGATTTATTTTTTCTGTGTTAAACTACCACATTCTTAAACGCGGCACGTCCAGTAATCAATACTGATTTATAGTTTGGTCGTTTCCATCTTACTGGTCTGCCTATCAACACAGTGTGACGTACTTCGGTATTTCGCAATTCTTACAAATGCGATAAAAGGTTTGAATAACAATCAAGCCAGCCAGCGAAAATGGCAAAATGCCGACCGGCAGCCAAAATCACCGAATCCGGGTGACCAAGTGGCAGGTTCATCGCCGGCAGGCCGAGGAGTCGTGTTAAGAACTAATCGTGAGATTACTACGATTTGTCGGATCAAACCGGTTAGAATGAAATAGACCAACTCATTAACGACCAAATTACAAGACTGAATTAAAAATCGTCAAAACGTTCAAACAGAAGGCGAAAGTTTCCATCCTACAAATCACGCTTGGAAGCTGAACAAACAAAATTCCGACAGCGCCTTTCCAGTTAATCAAACATTTAACATAACCGGTGAAATGTGAATCTAACACTTAATGTTACAAATTAGAATAAGTTAAAAAAAACTCCATTTCATAGCTCCTAAATGCTGTTAACGAGCTAAATTAGTGTTACCGGGCAGAAATAGTTATTTCCTTCAGTTTCAAAATTCTTCAAAAAACTTCATTGATAGTCGTTTTTAATTTATAGATTTTATGATCTGTTCTTGTTAATTTGATCATTAGTAATAAGCGCCACATTAGACACCATTTGTTTTCTTATTTTTTGTTTGCTTTATCGGTCAAAAGGCATACGTAACACATCATTGGTAGTCGGATTTGATGGATTACATCTTTAACAGTCGTAGGCTCCCATTGTCAGTTAGTAGGGTGTTGTTCGCATATCGGACAAGACCAAACAACGAGGATGAACCAGCCCACGAGTAACAAAGACCATCCCTGGACAATTAAGCTCATCTGTTTATAAATAGAGTGGGTAGCTGTTCTAGGCACTCTACCCACCACATGTAATGATTGTAATTATAACCATTTTAATTATTGTTACACTCACCATTTAAAAAATCTTATGTTTTTTGGAATCTCTTTAGCATAATTGTAATGAAAAGACTAATTCAGTAAAGGTGTTCCTTCTCCCGCATTAATGACTAGCATTTGAAGTGGTATTGATATCGACATAACTTCAGTAGAAATGTCTTGTGTTTTCTTTTGTCTGTTACAACCAGACTCGGGGTGAAGCACTGTAGTTTGGTCGTTTCGGATCATTTTGGTCCGCCTATCCTCGCTGTTTTCATCCAAAAAAGCCTAACAAGACATCCCACATGTGTGGGTACTAAATGGCAATCATCTAAGTATTTAGCCTGCATCCCTTTCCAAATACTTACAGCATAATGCCTGTCATTTTCCCTAATAAATGATTCGGAAAGTTGAAGGTTAAAGGTTAAAGGGAGTCGGCCTCTTCACGACCTGCGACCAATATTGGTCTATAGTGCAATCTCCATTATTATCTATTATCTCTTCGCTAACCATAAGACATTTTATCAGATACTAAAGTAAATATATACCACGAATTTTATGCGTTACGTCGTATTCTAAAATTATTTTGAAGCATACAGTTAGGACTTAGAAGTACCCAGATTGAAGAAACAAAACAATGAATCTTGCATCTGTACTTTTTTACTGGTTTTGGCCAAATTTGGTCTGAATATTCGAAGATAATAAATTGAATTTTAATTTATTTTATTGGGTTGTCCGGAAAATAATGCAGGATTTTGGTATTAAACAAAAAAAAAGAAACTAGTTACTTTAAAGCAATGTTCTTTAATCAAANATACAAATGAGTAATCCTGTAAACGTAAACAGAATATTTTATATAGATTTTTTTTAATGAAAACTTAAAATCCTGCATTATTTTCCGGACAACCCAATAATAAATTGAAACCAAATTTCACGTCGTTACGAAGAGTTACAAAGATATCTAAAAACATTCATAGTGGTTCCAAGATATGAAGAAAGGAACCAACGAATCTAGCGTCTATTATTTTAATCTGATTTTGACCAAATTTGGTATAAACAAGATAATAAAGTGATAATAAGTAGCGACTATTCTTTTATTAGAATTATAAAAGATTTAGAAGGGACAACTTTCTCTGGCAGCACAGATCTTTCAATGTACTTTGCAACGGCAAAGCCACCCTCTATAAAGTCAGTACACACCTCCATAGAGCATCGACAACTGATCGAACCCTGCTAGATTGCCATTGGTTGGTGAAAGGCACGAGAATCTGCACTATGCCTTTAACAACTATATAGAGAGTGGAAATGTTGGTTATTCGTTAGCTAATAAAGCTGGATGGGACAAATAATTTCTACTTAGAAGGTCTAACTAGCGTCTGATTGTTCGAACAGCTAAGCGGAATTCCTTGCCATGGTTCAGGCGCTCGCTGTATAAAGAAGTAGAAGAATAATCTTCTTGCAACAGCTTGGATCGTAGAGGACAGCCGCTTCACTCTTACATGAAGAATGAAAAATATCACATTACCACTCGAGGATGCCAGAAGAAAACTATGATCTTTATTTGAAAAACTGTGATGGGACATTTCGCTTGAGTTAAAGTAGACATGGGTCCGTTTGGAGCGGTTGCCATGAAGGCAGTGATCCACCACCCTACCGATCATCCACAACAGAATGCCTTTCTCTTTCATTGAACGCACTGCACTCATATGTAATGCACAATGGAATGATGAATGTAAGTATTGTGAAAAGGGCGCCACAAAGAAACTTTTCTTTACTACAGTGAGTCATTTTCGATATAAATCTTCAGCGGTAGAATGAAAGCTCTCTGTTGTCCAGTAAGGGTCTCGCTGGTCAGGAGAGGACGAACGGTGCCTCCTAGAAAAGTTCCCATAGAAGATCGGTACATCGAGACGTTTGCTTTCATTTGTTGCTTTGATTGACTTCGACATGCTATTTTTATAACTATATTTCTATTCATTTATATTCACATAAAATGTGTTATTTTGCTTATAAAATTTATATATATATTGTTTTTCTTGTTCTTGAATAATCAATAAAAATACTGGTAATCCCTTCCAGCAGGGAAAAAACCTTTATAGAGATCCCTTTCTGATGATACACATTTCCACAGTAAAAATGGCCCATGGCAAATATCTTCCATCTTCTTTGTCCATCCAAAGTCACCAAAAAACAAGATTTTATCCCAAGTGTATTCAGAGAAATTAGTGTTAAAATTGTGAGATTTCTTTTGAAGATGTACGGGGTGATGAGACTATAGTTTGGTAATATCCATCATCCTAGTCTGCCGTTTTGAAAGTTTGGTTATTCTTCTTCAGTGGTTGATCTTGGAAAAATGGTAATCGGACATGAACAAATTTTAAGTTTTTTGTTTATTCTTTTATCTAGGAGTGATACTTTGTGAGATGTCTTGTTGCGGTCTACAAGGTTATGACCATTTAGATGCTCTTTTTCAATTATCATGATCTGCCAAGTCTTGCTGGTTCGGCACTTCGCTATCTAAAGTAATCGTTTGTTATTACATTTGACAAAAACCACCACCGAAGATGATAAACACCTGACTGGCCAAAATAGCAAGGCTGGACATACCAGGAATGATCCTTCTAAACTACAGCGATTGATATTTCATCGGACTCCGCTTTGCCTGAACGTCTCGAGTCCTGTATCATATGCAAGTTTTCTATACCCCGTATCAGAAAGTTTTCGAGATGATATTCGACACATCACCATAAAACCACCGCCCCTGAAACCCTCTGGTTGTACATCTCTCTAAAAGGAGGGGTTGCACTGCGAATGTTGATCGTTTCGGTTATTTAAGCTTGACTTCTTCCATTGCCAATACAGACCAAGCCAAAGCAACACCATAATGGCACAAAAGAGTACAAAAAAAATCTATTAGATATCAAATTAAACTAAATTATTTTATAAGAATCGCATCGATTTGCATAAGTTTTTTTCTCTCCTTTCTCTCCTTTCTTCCCCTTCATTAAAACTGTAAATAGAATTGTGCATTATACTCAAAGTGGATTCGTCAACCAGGAAGTGAAAATATTGGCTTGAGTGGCCACTCATTTTGCCTCTCGTGGTAGTTTATTTTGTTCAAAATTAAAAATAAAAAGTTATAACAATGTATTGTCTTATTAATTGCAAATAGTAATATTTATCTTTAGAATAGGCTCAGAAAAGCTCTACTTAAAACTAATGCCACAAACAGTTTTTAAATCCTTTAACGTGGGTTCCCGGACATGAAGGCAAAGGAAATGAACAGGTTGACCAACTGACCAAAAAGGGGCAGCCTTCTCACCCTGGGACCAAAACCACAAGTAGATGGTGGAAAGGTAACTCGAAAAAGAAAAACTCAAACAGTGGGAAACATTACCACGTATGATGCAAGCTAAGAGATGTGTCTCAAAAAGGAAGACGAAGTTATTCCTCACCCTCAATAAGCAATATCTGAGAAAAATGATAGGCCTCTGTGCCGGCCCTGTTAACTACCACCTAAGAAGATGGGAAGAGGCAGAAACCTGCCGAATGTGTCAGCTGGAACCAGAGGCATCATCATATATCCTTTGTGAATGTTAAGCATTAGGTACAGCCACTTGGGGACAATTTTCACACTATCCTCACGCCAAGAGGAGTCTTATAGGAAAAAATGCACAATCCAAGGAACAGCTATATTTTATTGGGTTTCCGCAATAGACAATGGTCGCAGTGGAGGAAAATATTTTTACAATTCTTAATCAACCCCACCCTAATTAATTTAAAAAATCATCAGAATCTATAGCACGGTTCGATATTCTCATCGTGCATCTAGGGAAGATTGTGGCAGAGTTAACATTTATTTTATTTATAAGAAGATAATGTCATATTCTAAAGGGCCAAACAATTCAAAACCAGCTGAAAACTAATTGACTTACATATCAATGTTCTGGGCCTGGTCTAGAAGCAAAGTTCACTATCCTTATCTAGCCAAATATTATTATACTGAATGTCATTCCGTCAAATCACGTCCATAAAAGCAAAGTTCTTGTTTTTCAGCGCAAATTACAGAGCAAAGCGAAAACCATCGGAAATGGTTTGCGTGAGCTATTTTCTTCTATTTTCTATGAATAATGTGAACAATCGACTTCGACCCAGGTCGGGCGCAAGTCCGTAGAGACGTCTATAAGACTTAAAAGTCAAAATATACGAAACAGTTCAACTTTTTGTTTTGTGTCTGACTTTCAGGCATGGATTTTATGGAATTCTTAAGATTTTATTTGCCAAAGAGCCAACCAGATGGACTTGCCGAGTCGAATCAAACAATTTACAAATCCACAAATAAATATATTATTTTTTATTGTATATTAGTCGGGGTGTGTATTATTCTGCGCCCTTTAAGAGCAATTGTATCCCGAATAAATTTCAGATACATATTTTAATTACTGATCTTACAAGCTGTTTTTTCTCATGTTCGATTTTCTTAGCCTTACAAGATTTTGAAGATTTTACCATCGTTTATTTATTCGCGATAAGATAAGAAAGTAAAGTTTCAGAGTAAATACTTTGAAACATTTCTGCATAGTAACGTGAATAATCCTGAAATCGAAATTAATAACAATTATGTTTATTTTCAATCTCAAATCAATAAATATTTTTCGCGTTGAATTCAATTTAAATAAAGTCTTATATTTTAATAATCTGTTAAGAAAAAAATATTAACTTTTAAAAAGAATATTTTTTCTACTTTTTTTTTTACTAAAAGTTCAACTTTTGGTTTGTTTACGAGCTCTTTATTGATTTTATCTGTGTAATCAAATTACTAGAGCTTAAAGTGGTAATCCACATTCCAAACACGCGGCTACTTGCCAATATTAGAAATTTATTGAAAATAAAACGCATGTAATTTAAAAATATGGCTGGGAATGTATGCAAGTCGTGGTTCAAATTTCTACCTAAAAGAGGGGGCAGACAAAATATTTAAGTCGGTCTGTTTCATTTTCTGGAATATTAAGGCCTTAGCGGATTTTTTAACACTTAAAATTGTTGACAATAGATTTGGTTTAGTTAATTTTTGAAATTTTCAAATCTACGGACACGCGAGGACAAGTTTTAAAAGATCGACCTATAAGGATTTCATTCGTTTTTTTTTTGTTTTTTTTGAAGAAGCAGAAATTTTTATCAAAAACTTTTTATCCATAGTAATTCGTTTAATGTTCAGTATTGTTTAAAAAAAATTATTTTAATAAAAACTACGGAATGTTAAAGGGCTAAAATTTCTCCGATTCGCTCACCTTGGACATTTTCAGGAGGGAGACGAAGCCCAAGTTTCACAGCATAGTCCGTGTGGTTTCGCTTGTTCGCACAAAGGGTTTCTCCGGTAAAATAAAATCGGAGCTGCTTCGGAGCACTCGGACAGTCACTAGACGTTGCTCCCTTCGACCGATCAATACTGACAAGAAACAGCGCGCATGACATCGGCGACCGATGATCATTTACTTTTCTCCCGTTGACGATGTTGATGTTCTCCCTTGAAAGGACACGCGGCCGATTTTGTCGGATACGCCTGACATCAGATAAAATTTAATTCAAAATTTCGCGTTCTGTAAAAAAAAATTAAACTTAAATCGATATCCTCAACAAGGATTCCAGGCAAAAATAATAAAACAATAAATGTTATAAACATCTAGAGAAATTTTATGAGTCTAATAAAAGACTCTTATAAAAGAAATCTTTATAAGAGTCTTTTATTATCCATAGTAAAAGTACACCCAAAAAATTTAAAAATCCTGGTTATTCCATTTTTTTGGCATTATCATAGAAAAACACACATTTTTTTAATCAGTACTGGTCCAATATTGAAGTTCTTGACCCTCCACCCACCAGAAAGCTAAATTACTTTCGTGCAGCCTGTTTCAAATGCACAACTGATAATAAAACGCAAGGAAAGACAAAATAAAAAATAAATAAAAAGCTTTCAAAAGAAACATATATTTACATATTTCAAACAGAATAAACTATAGGTATATTCATAACTTATAAAATATGTACGACAAATAGGCCAAAATTGACTAATAGATCTTGTAGCCGCTTAATATTAAAAACATAGTTAATTCCATTTTTACAAATTGCAACTTTGCATCATTAGTATTTGTACTAACATCAATGTTCATTATGAGAATAAATATATATCATATTCACTGCACATGAGGTAAAAAAAAGAGAAATATTTCTAAAAATATCAACATCCACATCTACACAAAACAGCGTTACAAGGCACAAAAAGCTAAATTTCACTAGCAATTTTTCAATCTATTTTTCGTTTTAAGGCAACACACTAGAATTTCAATGAAGCACCACCGATTGAGCAGTCTTTTTCACAAATATGAACCTTTTTTGTTTCTTTTTTTCAATGATAAAACTCCAAAAATACATGAAAAATTTAAATTTGCACATTTTTTATACATATCACAAAAAAAATTAACATTACATTATCATTCTGGCTTAAAAATTAAATTACATGTACATATATGTCTGTTTTGTAAAGGATTTTTTTTTCAAATTTTACATTTTCTACGCGTCTGCATAAAATATAATTTTTATCGACAAATATAAATCTTATAAAGGACGACTTTTGCTCTAAATCATATCGCATTGACAGGATTGAAAAAAAGTGTTAAACATTAACAATCTAGTGGACTGTTTATTTAGCACTTCTTTATACACTTTATATCATGTTATACAAGACAGAGCATGATTTTATGCACAGCATAATTTTTAAATTTGTCAAAAATATTCAAGGCTAAATGGATGGAACCATTTGTAGTAATAAATTTGGCACAGAGTGATGTCGGTTGTTATTTAATTATTTTAAGTTTTAAAATATTTCATATGTTTGTAATTAATACACTACCACAGATCACACTACCAAATTCCATTGATAATTTTGTCCATCACAAATCGTAAAAGTTGACAACTTATGTCGGATGCTGATTTTATGTATAAGTTTTAAAACAGCTTACCTAAAAAATATAATATCCTAGTAATTTTGAATTAGATTGATTTACACCATAAAATTAATATTCCTTAGACTATCCACTCTTTTGGTACAGATAAGGTAAATGTTATCTTGCAACTCCGATCGAATAGTTCTAAGTAATGCTTTAATGCAATATAAAAAATTTAATTTGCAACAGTGAAAAACTAACATGTGTACAAAGAGGACCCATTTTTTCTCTATCATAGTTTATTATTCCGAATTGAAAATTAATTGGACAGATTCACTATCAAAATATTTAAATAAGTGCCTAGGAGGTTTTTAACGTGAACTGTTAAAAATGTACAGCGTCAATAAGATCTGAGAGAAGTGATATTCAGATTTGTCCTATTGCAGTCATGTGCGAGTACAATTGAAACTATCTTAATTAATAATAACTAGAATAAATACAATAAAATGAAATGTAAACACTGATGTGTCGTTGAGTGTAATGAAAATATAAAGACGAGATCAGAATAAATCCGATATAAAATCAAAATTTATTTTTTCCCCTTTCTTTAGTTCTCTGTTTAGAAAGGGGAAAAAATAAATTTTGATTTTATATCGGATTTATTCTGATCTGTATTATTATTTTCATTACACTCAACGACTACATCAGTCTTTACATTTCATTTTATTGTATTTATTCTAGTTATTATTAACTAAGATAGTTTCAATTGTACTTAATAAATTAAGATCGTACTGTTTGGGGTGATTTTTTTTCAATCTCCAAAAATGTAACTCATCTGATACCTACCACACAATACATACAATTGATCACAACCTGAAACAAACACAACCATTATATTACAAACCATATAACCAATTATTAATAAAATAATAATGTAATTAATAAATAATGCTTTGTGTTTTTTTCTAATAAATTATTTATATTTTCAAGTTTAATGATTTAATTAATGCTTCTGAAATTTTTAAATGATGCTTATTTTCACAAAATTTTTAATCAAACTAAGTCCTAAATGATGTTAAACATTAGGTAAGTCTAATTTTTCATTGTTGTTTTGAGATACTTCCAGTTTTTACTCAATTCACTGCTCTCTCCCTAATCTGAACTTCGGTACACCAAACTTCCAATAATCCAAACTGAAAAAAATTCAGGAAGTCAGAATGTAAAGAAACAAATATAACAGAAGAAAGGAAACAAATGTAGCATTATTTGGGGGAAGGGCAGGGAGAGAAGAGAAAAAGAACAGAGTGAAGAGAGATGAGAGAGAGAGAGAGAGAGAGAGAGAGAGAGAGAGAGAGAGAGAGAAACTGAGTGAGTGTGATGTGAGAGAGACTGAGTGAGTGTGAGAGAGACTGAATGAGTGTGAGAGAGACTGAATGAGTGTGAGAGAGACTGAATGAGTGTGAGAGAGACTGAATGAGTGTGAGAGAGACTGAGAGAGTGTGAGAGAGACTGAGAGAGTGTGAGAAAGACTGAGTGAGTGTAAGAGAGAATTAGTAAGAGTGAGTGTGAGGGGATTTGACCTCGGTCATTTGGTCTACTAATAGTCAAAAAGCCTAAACAAATCAATAGTAAAGCTGCAATATTTACAAAAATATCTTTTGACTTGCTTTGCTGATGTCTTTTTTTTTTGAATTATTATATCCTTAATATCATTGAATACAATCCTACTCATTAACTTATTACTTTCTCATCCTAGATAAAAACAAAACAAATTAACCAATATGTAATAACATAAACAACAATGGCAGGAAAACAAATTTTTTTAATGATTATTCGGAAATCGTGATATGCGGTCTGGTGTGACGTAAGTTTCCGAAAAACATTTTCTTTATCGTGCCAACGTTTCGATATTTATTGAGATCATCTTCAGGTATTTACAAACATTGTTTAAATTTAACATGTAGAAACAAAATATGTAGGATGTGGAAAAAAGTGTGTAAATCCCAGGCCCTGAAGATGATCTCAATAAAGATCGAAACGTTGGCACGATAAAGAAAATGTTTTTCTGAAACCTACATCACACCAGACCGCATCACACGATTTCTGAATAATTATCAATTAACGGTCACTAATCACCACACACTTTTAAACTGTGTTTTTTTTTTTACTACCTACTAAATTTGTTAATCAACATAATATAAATCATTTGTTTGTTGCGCCTCTAGTTGCAGGTACAAATTTTGTTAAAAAAAAAATTCAGTGTCAAGATAAACCACGACATATTCTGACCCAGGGTTTACCTTTTTAGACAAATGTAAGGTCTTAGATTTTTCTTGCAAAATTTAATTTTATGTTCTGATGCCCATTCTTCAGCCAGTCTCAAAGGGGGAGTTTGCGTCCACACCTAATTCCAGCCCGTTATTTCTGGCAATCAATATCAATGTCATCTGCAAAGCGGCGTGAGAACGTTAGGGTCAAGAGCGTATCCAGCATAATGGTCCAGTATCCGGGTCCAAAGCATGAGCCTTGTGGATACCCTTTTGTGGCAGGTGCTTCTTTATTCACATGAGTAAAACTTGGTGATGACCTTCTTATCTGTGAAGTAATCTCACAAGAGGAATACGATTTCTTGGACAGTTTTTTTCTTAGAGCTCCAAGAATACTGGGCCACCAGGCAGCATCAAATGAAGCCCTGAACGTCTAAAGGCACTAACAGCACATCCCACTGCATGTTTAAGTTAATAAGTTAAGTTCTTAATAACTTAATAAAATTAGCGGCCATTTTCAATGTGTCCATCTGGGGCCTGAAGTCGAATTAGGACCTCGATTTGAGTTTAAGTGGTGCATAATTTTTCATTAATTTTTCTAACCGCTTAGCAATCAGTGACAAGCTTATAGGCCTGTATGCTCACAATCTATCCCAAACAGAACTTTCATACTTCTCCATAATTACCAACAGCAATCTCATCCATTTGTTTCAGAACACGCCTCACTTTACACAAAAGCTTATTTGTGAGCATGTCCCTGCCAAAGGCTTTTTTTTTTTTGGGGGGGGGCAAAAATAATACAAGTTTTGAAAAGGGAGTCAATTTATCTTTGCATCTTGCCAACATGTAATAAGCGCTTTTATTGTGCTGACATAAAAATCATTATTTCAACTTACAATAAAGTTTTGGAAGACATTTACGGCTTCACCGCATTCTCTAAGAATTTTATCTCTCAAGAAGTGATCAAAATGCTTAAAAAAAATCAGAAGGTGAATATGGATGGAGGGTGCACTTCCTTTCATTGCACATTCCATTGGACATGATCATGGCAAACTTATTCTGTCTTTCGTTAAGCTGCCATACTTAGGAAGCTGTGAATGACCCTTTTGAACGTTTTTTAAAATTTGTGTCTATACCAGCTCTGCAGAAATGTGACGTTAAAGAATAGATGGAAGCCTTATTTAAAATAAAATAACTTGAATTTTTTAATTTTCCCCTGGATTCAAGTTATTGAGAGGCGACTGTATTAACTGAGCTATTTTTTGCCCACGTCAAATTGAGTATTATTGTTATTAATCCTTTGAAATTATTTTCTACTAATACCTAACAGATAAGATGTTCAAACTTTAGCAAAATAAGCTATGAATTTAAAAAAATATACATATACATCATATACAATTTTAAAAAATTTAATATAGAAAAATTTGGTTGGGGTATCTTTTTGTCCCGGACCTTAGGTGTGTGTTGTGGGGGCATTGGTGGTCACAACTGTTTACATGTTGACATAACCCTCATCACTGTAAAATAAAGGTCACGGGTTCAAAACCAACCTTCTTACAAATGGGCTTTTTTTTCTTTTCTTTTTTTTCAAAAACACCAGCACCCCGAGGGTTCTGTTACAAAGTGGAAAATGGGAAGGAAGAAAAAATGTTTTTTGTTTTTTTTGCATGGGGTGACCAGACTCAGGTACATGCGGATGATATTTGGAAGCTGAAGGAGGCCCAAACAAGGTTCAGTGCGGACATCTGTGAGGAGTGGGGCCCAGCCGGCAAGGACTGGCAAGGTTCAAGCTTGAACAGGTAGACAAGTCGAAAAGAAAGGTTAAAAAGGACTTAATTGAATTATTTTTGGACTTTATTTTTTCATCGTCGAGGAGCAGAGAGTTTGCGTGTGCGAGGGAAAAATCGCTCTGGGACTAGAAGGAAAAGAACAGTGATGAGTTTGAACATTTATTTTCTTTTAAGTGATTTTGTTTTCTGACCGCTATTATTATTATTTTATTATTATTATTAAACCTTATATAAAAAGGATAATTAATTGAAAGAAGGAATTTGGTCAATTAGACCAGTAAAACATAATGGATTACTATTATTATTATTGAAGTGAACTTGTTTTATTTTATTTATTTATTTTTTCTTTTTTACTTTCTTGTTTTTTTCCACCCCAAGAGTTCACTGTTTGAAAGGGAAAGAAAAAACCAGTGTGGCAACCGATTATTATATTTTTGGAGACAAAGCAGCAACGGAAAAAAAATCTCCACTGAGCCCCAGGTACCCAGAGACCGGGTGAGGTGAATTGTCAACAGTCCAAAGAGGAACCTGTAACAGTTCATATAACTTCATAGTTGCCTCGTTAACCCTCGTTAAAAAAATTAAATGATTTAAAAGGAGTAACATCTCTGCATTCTGAGTAATCTGAATACTCCCCTGCAGCAATTAATTTGAACTACTGAGAGAGCACAATACATATATTTATCGACCCATGTTTTGGAAGTTTTATTTTTTATTTTTTCCTCCCAAGGTGGAAATTGAGCGTGTTAAATATATAAGCATCATGAGACCTGATGTGTTAAAGGTTTTTTCCATTGAGGACTCTACATGTGACTCAACATTTTACCTTTGATCTAAATTAATTTTTTTTATTTTTGTCCTACTTATAATAGTATACAACAATTTACCCTATGATACTGAAGAAATAGGATTGTGGGGCGATCCCATTTGTGTGAGAACTTTGTCCAACCACTGAAGAGGTCCATGCAAATGGATCTCGATCCAACACGGTGTGCTGGTGACATCCTGCCTGTGATATTCGGCACCCCAGCCCTTGACGAACGACATCCTGCAAACAGACGAGCAAAATTGTTTAAATTTCCCTTTTAAATTTTCAAAGTTTCGTTTCCCGTCTTAAATACCTAATAGTGCACATTTTTGTGAGCTCATATACTGCCTCAAACCCGTGATTGACGCTCTGCGATAGAAGTTGTGCAAACTCCTGATTGTTGAATATCTTCAACGAACAGCCCGATGGTATTTTGCACACAGTGCTCGGATGGAAACCGTGGTGGTGGTTGCAGTTGCGTGACTGTACAAATATGGCACTGTCGGAAAGACATTCTGCATACACTTCGCCCCCTACATAGTACAAATGCACGCCTAAAAGAAAAAAACAGTTTTTGTTTAATAAACACAAAAATACTTTTTACAAACTTAAATTACCTTTGCCTATATGGCGTCTTGTATTTTCAATTGTAGAATTTCTATTTACATTTGAAAGTTGGCCCAGACAGAACCTATTTAATATACTACTTGGGTTGGTGAATCCGTCGACAATTACTGAAGGAGCTTGACAGTGAAAAACTTCACCAACCCGACAGTTTAATTCGTAATACGCTATACTGGCCCAATATGGCGGCTCCTGGAAAACAATCAAGTATGATTTTTCATTCCTATTCATAAATTCAAGACAAAAATCTCAATCAGTTCTTATTTTACTTGATATGATACAGGAGCAACTTCAGCAAGGGAAGAGGTATCCATGGCGCTTTGGTCCGAAGGCGGTGATGGTACATGTTTACTCTCATCAGACGAAGGGTATGATGGAGGCGGCGATTCTGGAACAAGAAATAGTAAAAATAGCTAATAATAGCACAGAAATTTAACCCTTTTGGTTTGGTGTAATTTTTGCAACCATAGCCCCATAGTACTGAATACTTCTAGCAATTTGGGAACTTTTTGTATTGTCTTGTCAAGTGTAGCATGTGAGCTGCGTAATCTTATTTTCTTTTTCTTTTTAGCAAAATTAATGCAGGTTTTGAAAATTTATTTTATTTTTGCAGGTCCTTGTAATGTAAACAAAGCTAAATATATTCAAATCTAATTTGTATATTATAATAATAAATACTCTTAACTGTTATGTTTTATAAAAAACATTTTAGTTTATATTGAATTTTTTAAGAGTGAGGACCTGTGAAATTAAATATGTCCTAGTTTTTCAGCAAATATATTTGTATGAATTTAAACTTGGGGGGGCCGCGATAGCCGAGTGGTTAGTGTGACTCTCGGTTCATAGACCCCGCGGTCGTGGGTTCAATTCCCACCGTCGCCTCTGGCCTTTTTTTCATGTTACCCTTCCCCCCAAAACAAATACGCACAATAACATTGTCATTGGCTAATATGCTAGAACATAAAGCCATTAAAAAAAAAAAAAAAAAAAAAAAAAAAAAAAAAAAAAAAAAAAAAAAAAAAAAAATTAATACAGTTTGGGGGGAGGGAAGCATTAGCGAATATATGGTGCAGCGATTGATCAGATTTCAATCTTGAGACGGGGAAGATTGCGGTAGGCCTTCCGTTCTGGACGAAAAACTCAAAATATTGATTGAAGAAAATTCACATAAGACAAAAGGGAAATTACAGAAGAGTTAGGAGACCACTCAACCATTGTTGCCCATCTAGAGCAAATGGATAAAGTAAATAAGCTCGACACATGGATACCGCCGCATGAACTAACAAGCCAAAAAAAAAATCGATGCATTGAAATTTGCGCACGTCTCTTCTGTTGCACCACCAAAATCCTCCATTTCTCGATGAATCAGCATGTGCGATGAGAAATGAATTCTGTACAATAACAGGAGGTGCAGAGATCGGTGGTTGAAGTATAAAGTGCCAAAACACTTCCTGAAACCAAATCTGCTCGCAAAAAAGGTTATGGTGACTGGTGGTGAACTGCCACTATAACTTCCTGAATTATGGTGAAACTATCCGGCAGAGAAATAGTGCCAAGAAATTGACAAAATGCACGGGAAACTGCAATGTCTTTGCCCAGCATTGGAAAACCGTTAAAAAAGGGGCCGATTCTTCTTCACGATAAAGCCAGGCACAATGCCAACTCTGAGGAAACTTAATGACTTAGGATTCAAAACCATATCGCACCCTTTATTCACCTGACCTCTTGCCTTCAGACTTCCACTTTTGTTTTGCATTTTGATCACTTCTTGGGGGATAAAATTCTTAGAGAATGCGGAAAGCTGAAAATGCTTGAAAAATTAGATTAGAAATAACAATAGATTTTTTAGATGGTTTATCCTGAAAGTAGGCGAGGCTTCAGTATGTGAGAAATTCTTAGTCCCAGGGAAAAGTTTCGCACCATTCTCTGCCTCCTGATTTTCATGTAATTTATTAAGTTTTTGTGATAAAGTGAACCAGGGTGCATCGACAGACATTTTTAAAATTTTATTTTGCAATCTGAATTTATTATTAATAGAAGGAACTGCTGCTCCTTGTGTTAGAGAACATAATAATGACATGTAGACTAGAACGCAAATTTGGTTTTTAGCTTGGATGTTCTATTTAGAATTGCATAGAGTGTGCAAGTCTTCAAACTCCTTTCCTTTTCTTTTTCTAGACTGCATTGAGATGCTTTCCAAGGTATCTAATCATCTTAGCCTTGTTATTCCAGGGCATTTGATGGATTCCTAGCTTTAGTTCATGCAGGTCCTTTGGGATGCGGAGAGTATTTTTGCTTCACTTTTAGCAGAGTTGAGTGTCACTTTCCACCTAGTCAGGTACTATTGTATGTTACAGGCCTCGTCAATATTTGAATGGCTGGCATAAATAGCCGTATCATCAGTGAAAGTGGCAATTTTGGCATTTGGACTATTTGAAATGCCGCTGACATAAATGGAATAAAAGGGAGGAAAGTACTGATCCCTGTGGAGTTTCTGATGTTATTGTTCAGGCTGCTATCGAGTTTGTCGATTAATTGAGGTTCGAGGTATTCAGCCAGCTAATCCACTTACTATTAGCTGTCATACTACAGTTCACGCTTAGTGGACAGTTGGTCGCGTACAAAAAGTCTGTGAAGAAAAATTGAGGATTTTGCAATTCTGATATCTCAAAAAATACTGGTAGGAGTATAAAAGTGATTTCAAGTTTTTTTAAATCTCCAGAATGCCATGGGATAAACAAATCTCTTGGAAGACACCCTGCCTTCACAATATGACAAAAACTGGTACTTTTTTAAGGGCAGCTTCCATCTATTCTTTAATCATTTTTAAAAAAGATGGTTCCTACTCACATTAAGTTGTTTCACAACAATCCGGATTTTGAGCCCTTTAGCTCATCATCAGGTTGAAAGGCTTCTGCAACCACGTCTCTCGACATGAATTGCCAAAGTGAACCCGCTGATACGCCCGCCAACGCGACGTTCCAATGAGGAGCTGGGTTTTTAATGGCGCTCAATTTGAACGTGCGAAAAGCGGGAATTATAACACAAATAAATATTATAATAGTAAATACTGTAAGAAATTAATTATAAATTAGTGATTAAAGATAAAATTTAAAAAAAATAATAAATAATAAATAATTAGAATAATACCTTAATATTATTAAATTATTATAAAACCTAACAATTAGAATAATTAGTTTAATTATTTGGACGTTTAATATTATTTATATACATATTTAAAATGGGAGGTAGATCAAAATCTGTTATATTATTAATGCATTTATCACCATGTTCAATTTTACATTTTTTAATTTCAAATTTCTCAAACCAATCTAGTTCTCTCCCTTTGTTGAAACTATGTAACACTGTTGTATTTAAATTTGAATTGAAATTATGTTTTGTTTCTTTTAGATGGTCCTTGAATTCCGAAAATTTGTTTGACTTAGGCAAATGTTCTTTATGTGTTTGTGGAAACTCTTCAACCTGACGATGAGCTAAAGCGCTTGAAATCCGGATTGTTGCGAAACAACTTAATGTGAGTAGAACCATCTTTTTTAAAAAGGATTGAACTCCACACTCACCCCATCATTTATAATTTCTATCTATTCTTTAACGTCAAATTTCTGCAAGAGCTGGTATAGAGACAAATTTTTAAAAAACGTTCAAAGGGTCATTCGCACAGCTCCTAAGTAAGTCACTTAAAGAAGGATGGAAGATGTTTGCCATGATCTTGCCCAATAGAATGTGCAATGGAAAGAAGTGCACCCTCCATATTCACCTTGTGACTTTATTTAAGCATTTTGATCATTTCTTGAGGGATAAAATTCTTAGAGAATGCGGTGAAGCCTATAATGCTTTCCAAGACTTTATTGTGAGTTGAAAAAAGACTTTATGTCCGCGGAATACACTTATTACACGATGGCGAAGATGTATTAATTGTGATGGGAAATATTTTGATTTTTTTTTTTTTAATAGTTTTGACTGCCTTTTCAAAACCTGCATTATTTTTGCACCATATATGCATCTTCTGTCCCGTTGCAGGTCCTGTAAGATTAATAACTTCAATAATTCTATTTCACAGAGATGTGATCTGCAATCTTGTATCAGTACACAGATTTTGAGAATTGTGTAGTAACATTATTGGAGCACCAATTTTTAATTGGATTTAGAGAATGTAAAAATTCTTGTAGATAATACACTGTATCTTCTAAGTTTACGACAATACCTATAGATACATGAAGCCTGGTAGCTTGTGCAAAAAAAAATCATTTATTTCATCAACAGATGCATTCCTTGAAGACACAATTTGTTCACATATCCAGTTATAACTTCTTTGGAGCAAATTTTCTATATTTCGGTAAATCTTGTCAACCAATTCTTAATAGATCTTACAATTCTTCCTAATTACTAGTCCAGTAATTTTTGAAAATCTGTTATAAATTTAAAATTTTGAGCATTTACCAACAAACTTTTTTCATACCTGGGATGCCATTGTTTGAATACGGGCTGTGAGGATTCGACGTCGCCGGGCTGGGAACGCTGCTCAACGGAGAGCTAGGGGCGCCACTGAAACCGCTTCCGCTATACGACACATTTTGCGGCATTGCTTGTTCTGGCAACTGTTGGAAAGGCAATAACGAATGTCCTGGTGCGAACTCGCTATGCCTTGGTACAAGAACAGGTGGTAAGACTGGAACCAGAAAACGAATGAAGGTTTTGCCATCGATTAGTATAAGAAGAATAAAAATTTGCACTTACCAGGGCTCTCGACTCTTTTGTAGTGGTAAGGATTAATACACACTTCCTTTTGTTTTGCCGAAAATGGGTACTGACAGTGCTCCAACGGCTTTAACTCATGGTGCGACTGCAAATCAGGCCACCTCCAAACCCGACAATAAATAACATGAGGAAGACCCTTCCGATGGGACACCTAAAAACATCAAACAAATTAAAAACAAAAAGGAAAAAATATACCAATATATTCAATATTAGACATTTTGTCAAAAGCTCGTTGGTTTTAAAGCCTCAACCAATTTAAACATTTTCAGGCTTTTTATTTGAATTTTATTCAATAAATAAACTATTTCTCTCTCTCAACAGAGCAAGAGAAGTATTCTGAATATAAGATAAAGGGGTAAAATTACCTGCAGCCTTCCATCGAGGCTTCTTGGTATGGTAACACAGTTGCTGGGTTGTCCGGGGCAGCTCAGCGCCCTTTCTAAATCTTCGATAGCGCCTTTTTTTTTCTTCAACTTCTTAACGAGAGCATCGACTGCCCTCTCCGCCCATTTTTCTTCTTCGTCTCCTTGCTTCCAGCCTAGCAGTTTTTTAACAGCTGGACTAGTGAATGAAAAAAGGCTGTTCAATGAGGCCATCGCCCCACCTGAACTCGAAGTTTCATTATCGTCCGTCTCCATTGCTGGATGCTGTGACAAACAACAAAAAATAAATAAAACATCATTTAATTTTTAATTAATACTATTAGGGAAATATCTGGCAATTGGGGGGGGGTCATTTCTTAATTCTGAAATATAAGCACCTATTAAACAAAATGTTAAATAAATAATACAATACATGAACAGATGCAAGTCTAGCACTAATAGTTTTTTATGACATTTACATTAGATTATTTTTATTTCACTGGTTATACGAACGACGTTTAAGTAAACAAGAGTTGGCACAATGTGACGAAATGTTTTTTCAAAATAGGAAAATCATTATTGTCTTTAAAAATAGTATATTTTACAGGTGAGTTTGTACTGATAAAAGCGAAAAGGTAAGTCACGAAGGGCTTCTCTGTAAGTTGAAACCCCATCAACGTAATGTACTATCCTGATATAATAATAGCATAATCTCAATATTTCATGTACTCAAATCATTAATTAGTTTGTATAATTATGTTCCTATTATTGTTATCATTTTTGTAACACTTATATTTCAAATAAATTGATTCGTTGGTATAAAGCAGCGCATAGTTTGATATTTTTTGATCATTTTGACCTGCTGTTTTGATCTACCAGGCGCATTCTGCTTTACTGCCATCTTCAGTGGTGGGTTTCTTGTATAAAAACGTCAGATTAATATGGTTATTAGTACAATAGTTTGCCAAAATCAAAAATAAAACTACTTATTTATCTACATATTGGTCGTTTTAAGATCATTTTGGTCTATCAGATGAGTTTCAGCTTCTCGCCATTTTCAGTGGTGGGTCGCTTGTACAAAAACCCTTGCTTAATATGGTTATACATTATAATTGGTCAATATTTGTTTAGTGATGGTAATTGATCATATTAATTATTCCAATTAATTTCACTAATTTCGTGGTCGGCTTGACCAATTAATATATTACAACTAAGGTTTTTAGATGAGATAAAAAAGTCAATGGCACGAGCGGGATTCGAACCCACGATCTTCGGCTAGATACGCCGCTGCTCTACCCCTGAGCTATCGTGACCTCGATCCACTCGGACACCAACTTCCCAACACCAACTTGGTGTCCGAGTGGATCAAGGTAACGATAGCTCACAATGACCCTTCTTAATTTCAATTTGCAATTTTATTTATTAAAATGATTTTTTTTCGTAATTTTAGTTAATATGGATGTAATGTTCAAGAATAATATTTTCTTGCAGAGTTACCATTTTAAGATCAACTTGGTCTGCATAATGTCACTGTTTTTTTTTCTGTTATGACATTATAAGTGATATGAACTAACAAAATCACCCAATCAAGTACAAAAAATGAGATATACTCATAAGTTTAAAAGCATCTCATAAACCAAAAACTATCGGAAATGACAAAACTACACATTTTTATCCTTCAGACCACATGATGAAATCTTACAATTGCTACAATAATAAAAAAATTATACATTTATACAGGAATGTATATTAAGTAAATTGACAATACAGTTGTAAAAATATATTGGCAATTTGTTGAATGTATCCGCCCACCATTGAATAATGAATGATATTGGGCTTTTCCAACATTTATGGGAAAACCACAATGACTTGGTTATTGATATAATCATGATTCTTTTAATATGACCCTCCTTAATTTCAATTTGCAATTTTATTTATTAAAATGATTTTTTTTTTTGTAATTTTAGTTAATGTGGATGTAATGTTCAAGAATAATATTTTCTTGCAGAGTTACCATTTTAAGATCAACTTGGTCTGCATAATGTCACTGTTTTTTTCTGTTATGACATTATAAGTGTTATGACCTAACAAAATCACCCAGTCAAGTACAAAAAATGAGATATACTCATAAGTTTAAAAGCATCTCACAGACCAAAAACTTATCGGAAATGACAAAACTACATGTTTTTATCCTTCAGACCACATGATGAAATCTTACAATTGCTATAATAATAATTAAAAAATTATACATTTATACAGGAATGTATATTAAGTAAATTGACAATACAGTTGTAAAAATATATTGACAATTTGTTGAATGCAACCGCCCACCATTGAATAATGAATGATTTTGGGCTTTTCCAACATTTATGGGAAAACCACAATGACTTGGTTATTGATATAATCATGATTCTTTTAATATGACCCTCCTTAATTTCAATTTGCAATTTTATTTATTAAAATTATTTGTTTTGTTTTACTAATTTTAGTGAATATGTTTGTAATGTTCAAGAACAATTTTTTCTTGCAGAGTTACCATTTTAAGATCAACTTGGTCTGCATAAGGTCACTGTTTTTGTCTGTTATAACATTATAAGCATTATGAACTAAAAAAATCACACAGGTCAAGTACAAAAAGTGAGGTATACTCATAAGTTTAAAAGCATCTGACAGGCCAAAACAGCAATAATAGGCAGACCAAAAATGATTGGCCCATGATGAAATTTACAATTGCTAACAACAAACATATTTTACACATTTATACACAGACATATATTAAGTAAATTGATAATAAAAATAAATTGGTGGTTGGTTGAATTGATCTGCCTACCAGTGAATAATGAATGATTTTGGGCTTTTCCAACATTTACGGAAAATCCACAATGACTTGGTTATTGATATTATCATGATTGTTTTTAATTTTTTTTTTTAACTTTTCAGTGAATATGGATGTAACTATCAACTAGTGCACAATTTAGTTGTTAACTTTTTTTACTTGTTTTGTGGATACATTTGTTGTTGGTTTGTCTGTTGATGAGGACGCGAGATTGATTATCAGTGAGGCGAACCACCCTGAACTAAATACATAGTTCCTGCGGCAAACTAGTTTTACCACTATTACACGGCCGCCCTCTGTAATTACGACCGCTTCTAAAATCCCAAACGGGCTCCGCTCCGGAACGCAGCCCGATCCACGATTATCAACCCCTGGAGTGCAGGTGGAAAAATCAAAACACAAACCGACCGTGCAGTCGAGGATCAATTTTAAAATCTTATTAAGAAAACAGTTGAATGTTTTACGCCCTACGTATCTCGTAATTGACGAAAATCGATAATTATTGCAGTCGGAAAGGGTGAAAAACACAAAACGAGTCCGGTTTGCGATTTGTCCCTTTTGAATTATTACCAAAATAGCCCCGGGCGATTTATTATTTATAACCTATTGGTGGGAATGAGAAGAGAAAATGTGTGAAAGAGATCAAAAAGAGCGGAAAGGAGCGGAGCCACTAACCTCAGAGCGTAGGTCCGTCCGTAGAAAACGCCGTAAAGAGTAGAAAGTGGCGATTGGCGACAGTCAGACGGCATCCAGCGGGCAGCGCCTCCTCGGTGAAAGAAAGCGGGCAAAAGTTGCCGACTCTGCTGAAAAAAGAAAAAAAGCTCCTCCCTCGACGTCTCTGATGAACCGACGTCTTTCTGGTGTCGAGTGCCGTCCGGGGGTCGAACTTCCGCCCTCGGATCTAGAAGTCCCAAGCCGATTCCAGAGTGGAAAGTGAGTCACTCCGGAGATGACGGTCACCCCAACGGCCTATCCAGCACTGTAAACACAAATTCACCCAGGGCAGCACGGACGACCAGTGAATCCGACCGACTGGACAGAGGTCGCTGCTGAAACAGCTGATCATGCAGAAAGCTCGCTCTGATGATGGACGGGCGAACATGCCGTGTGGCGTGTGCATGATCATGATGCACAACGCTCTCACCTACAACGCATCCTCATATAAATGCAGATGCCTCTTTTGTTCCTTGTTTTTATAAATGACATTATTACTGTGCTTAATGATATAACTTTTATTCACTTTTCTAATAAACTAAAAATCTTTAAACCTGTTTCTTCTTTTTCTGACCACTTAATCCTAAAAAAAAATCCCTGTGTCAATCAAAAATCACTCTTGGTGTTTAATTTAATCCATATATGTAATGGTCATAATTGACAGTATTAACTATTTTAATTTAATCCAAATTTTAATCAAAATGAAGGGATGGTTAGGTGTTATATATCATGTCGCCTGAATGATAGTATCAGATAGAAGCAAACATTCCTAACCTGTACTAAAAATGTCATCCCGGTTTGCTTCAAACTGCCTGGAACAGCCTCAGGATGTTTTGCCTAATCCAGTCTGTTTTGGATCTTACTCAACTGAAAAAACAGGAAAATTACCATCCCTATAAACTGCTCCTTATGGTGATGATGATGAAAGGAGTCTAGGAAATGGGGGTTTCATTTTCCCCAAGCACTCCAACCTTCTGATTTATTGTACTTCTAGTTTCTTAGCTCAGTGCAATAGACTCAATCCTTCTTTTAAGACTCTGTTAGCAGTTGGTCAGCATTCAAAAATATGGCCTTTTCGTTCTCTTCATCAGGTTTGCCAGTTGAGGCCTAAGTTTAGTCACTGTTATCGTGTCTGACATCTCTAGATGTCTTTTGTATCTTTTCAATCCATTCCATACAAATTTTAGAATTTTTAGTCCCCAACCACTTAAATTTATTTTGAAATCTGAGCTTTTCCTAGCATTTTCTTGGATACATTTTCAACTTGATTAATCCAGTGTGTTTTAGGTCTTACTCAACTGAAAAGTCAGGAAACTTCCCATGGCTGTAAGCTTCTCAGACTACTTGGACAAAGACCTAACTGTAGTTTGACCACAGCTGCCTATCCTCGAAAAAAATTAAAACATTAGTAGCAGCATATTAGAAGTAACACCCTGAGAATAAGAAAAAAAAATTACCACATTTCACATTCCATTTTATAGCACTTCGCCCTATTCTTTCTAAATATAGAAGATTATTCTTCGGGTGCAGTGTGTTTACAAGAAAATAATTTTTAAGTTTGTTGGATGGATCCAATTGGGCTTCATTGGTGGAATACACCAGGGCCGCCTGGACGTATAGGAAGGATTATATTGAATTATAACATTGTTTTCTTCTATCTATTATTTGATTATTTTTTATTGAGTACATTTATGTTCACTTTATTATAAAAAATGTAGCGACCATGCTACGAGAGAGATATTATTTCCACAAATACGTCTCTTTGTTTTGAAAGTATTTATAGCTTGCCATAACTCTTTCGAATTTCTAGACAATTTTATTTTTTCAGCTGCTGAAAGAATGTATTCTTTTTTTCTATCAGTGCAAAGTTTTCTGTAGGAGGTTTTGCTCGCAGATAGGCTTTTTTAACAATATCAGATCCAGAGTTACGGAAGAGGTTTAAAAGGGCAAAGGACTTAGCTCGCTCATGGGCACATCGGCTGTTAAACCAGTTCACTTTATTATAATATTGCTTATAAATTTAATAAACCTTTAAAAAAATTATTGCATTACTTATGATGTTATTATTATTTTTTAGTTCTTTTTTGTTCTTATGTGCATACTTATTTCCCTTCTTACTTTTATTCTTGTTTATCCTTATTTCTTCTACTTAATCTATTTTTATTGGGTTTATGGCATTTAACTAATTCATTATATTAGTTTCTATTAAGTTATTTATTTTATTTCAGGAAAATTTGTACTTTTGTTAACCATTCACAATAATTTATAATCAGAGAGGTTTATATTATTTTGCAGTGTATAAAATTATTTATTTTATTTTATTACTATTATTATTAATTTTTAAGGGCGTTTTAATAGTTAAGGTAAAATTATTATTACCCTTCTGAGTGCTATAAAGCTCTAACTCCAAACATTCACTCGTTCACCATCCAAAGCTTTAATTTATCCTTTTAAAATTTTTAATTTGGAAGGCTAAATGTATGCAAAAATCCCATTTTAAATTAAATATAAAATTTATTCCTGTTTTTTTTTTTAATTAGAATTATGAATTTTTGTTCCATAATTTAAAATATTTCCCATAGGCTTGTATGGCCAATAATAATGGAGTCAGACTAGCAACAGTCTCAGCATGAGTATAAGTTCATCCTTATCCTTTTATTCTTCCATTGAAATATGATAAATAAACTAATACTACATAATAATAAGATACATAAGAAACAAAGCACAATAACACCTTTTTTTGTTTTTGAGGGAGCTATCTTTCTTATTAAAATTGCGATTTTGGGCATTTATTACCCTGCAATTTGTATTTTCTTCCATTTTTTTTTCCACTCCGGCAGCCTCAAAAACTTCTGAAAAAAAAAGGAATCTTGCACGCACAACTCTCATTCAAACATTAGCAGGCAAACATTCAAAGGTTCAATCTCATTATAAATTCCAATAAATTTGAGAAAGCTGAAAAGTGCTCTTCGAAAGGAACAATGGGGACCCAGTAACTCCTGTAAATCACTCGAAAGGTTGAGCCTTTGCCTAAAGGGTTGCAAAGTGGGACAGTCGACCAAAACATGTTTTACTGTCAGAATGATACGTTCTCCACTTCGCATACATCGAGGACAAGTTGGAAGGTTGTTGCCTATTAAAAGCCTATTATGGATTAGCCTGATGTGACCTATTCGCAATCTAGACAGAATCACAAGTTTTTTTCTCTCAAGTTTCTCAGTTGTCCATTTATGTACAACTGGCTTAATTTCTTTCATTTAATTCTGAAAAGATCATCGACATATAAAGGCCTGACTATACGATCATCTATATTATCAGCCAGACCGTTTACCGCAATGGCAAATAAAGTGACACTCAGAACCGAACCCTGAGGAATCCCGTTTTCTTGAATGAACATACTAGATAAGGCGGTTCCTAATCTCACCCGGAATCTCCCCATTTCGAGGAAGCTTTTTAAAAATTTAGCTATGTTCCCTCTTAAACCCCAATCATAGAGTTTCTTAAGAGTACCAAATCTCCAGGTCGTATTTTATGCTTTTTCCAGGTCAAAGAAGACAGCTAAAGCATGCTCTCTCTCCAAGAAAGTGTTCTGAATAGCACTTTCAAGGAGCGCTACATGATCTTCAGAGCAAAAGTGCTTTCTAAACCCAGCCTGGTATTGACTGTACAGACCTTTTTCTCAATAAACCAATTTAACCTTTTGTTAATTATGGCTTCCAATGTCTTGCTGAGACATTGTTAGAGAAATAGGTATGTAATTTTCTGGGAGGCTAGGATCTTTACTCGGCTTGGCAATGGGTATCACGACCGACTTCCTCCAGTTTTCAGGATAATATCCCGCACCCCATATTTCGTTAAATAACTCCAAAAGCTTTACTTTGCCTTCTGGAGATAGATTTTTAATCTTGGAGTATGTGATTTCATCACTTCCCGGAAAAGATTCTTTCACCGAACTCAGAACAAGATCCAGTTCAGGCAGAGTGAGGGGAGCGTTCCAAACCTCTTCTTCATCAGTTGCAAAATTTAAATCGTATCTTTCTTCCTCCTCCTTTATCTGCCTGAAAGCTCCGAATACCAGCTGGAATTAGAAACAGATTCAAAATGACGAGCTATTCACTCAGCAATTTGAAACGGTTCTGTTATGACCATGTCTTCTGCACGGAGTATTGGCATAATTGGGAGTTTTCTTTTGCCCGAAATTGCCCTGATTTTCCTCCATATATCCGAGGATTCCATACGATTATTATTATTATTATTAATCGTCATTATTACTATTACTACTATGTTCTCACCACCTCTGGCAGAAGGAGTAGCCATGCCGTATTGTTTATTTTTTATTGAGTACATTTATGTTCATTTCATTATAAAATTTCTTATAAATTTAATAAACTTTTTAAAAAATTATTGCATTACTATAACTTACATTATTATTTGTATTCATTTATTTATTATTTTTTTTACAAAGAAGCTACAGATTTTTTTCAAATTTTGGGAGTTGTTAATCCTGAGGGTTTATTGACCTGGGTCGACCAACAGATTTCAGGGCAATCGATTGTTCTGAGGCCGATCACCAAGGAAACGGAATCACGAGGACAAAAAAAAAATGAAAACAAAGATTTTTTGAGTCTACTTTTGATTTAAGAGTGTTCAGCCGAATTTTCATTATGTTTTCCAGTAGTAAAATGGACTATAACGACCTGAGCATGTCTCCAGATTCGGTACAGTTTTTCCCCTATCGTTTTTATGATATCACCCAGTCCAAGTTGCAGTCTCAGTTGACAAAAACTATTATTTTATTATTATTTTTTTAGGAACCGTTTGCACCGCCGAGGTCGAGGAAAACCGGCCTTTGGGCTGATTCGACGGGAAGAACTGGAAAGTAGGTTTTTTTTTTTTTTTTTGAAACACGATTTTGTTGATCGATTCGAACAACTGCCTTTACACTAAAAAATAAACGACCCGACGTTCAAAATTTATGTTTTCAGATCGCTCAGAGACAGCACATTTAGTTTCTTAGACCAGTGAGTAGCCCGAATTGCTATGTATGTACCTAAACTATCCAGTAGAACTAGTTGTACCGAACTTTCTGTTTCAGTTATTTTTAGATTTTTAGATGTAGGCCCTTTTTAGACAAGACGGTTTGGTTGATTCGACTGTTGCCTGGTTGCCTGCCATGAGGAGACTAGCCGGTTTCACACCAAGCAACTTGTGGAATCAACTCTCCTGACAGGTGGTGCGATGTTACTCGAGGAAGCAGGAGCACTCCTTGTGTTTGTTTTTCTGCAAGAAAAGCAAAAAAGGAAGAAACCCTGGGTTTAACCGTTTTTACAAAATCGGGAAACAGGCGCTTTCTCACAACAACTGATGTGCTACTTTCCTCCAAGCTTCACTCCTCACACAGATTTCTTTAATGAACTGTTGCACATTGAAACTTGCAATTGCAATGCTTTATATGGCGAACTCAGTTGTCTCAATTAAGCGATTAGTGAAGGATCAATACCGAGTTGTGTCTTTTGAGTTGGTCAACCAATTGGGAATGTGCCTGCTGGCTAGGAGTTGACTGTAGGTGAAAGGGTTCAAGCAGTTCCCAATCGTTTGCTAGCTACATTCCTCGACTTAGGTACAAAAACTGAAAATACACGACAGTAAAATGACCAAAATTATCCTTTGGATCACTAATGTGGTGGACCAAAGCTTGGCAAAAACAAGCTATTCAAACATTAAACAGCAAACAAAGATTGGCAAACCATATCACAGGGCAATGGAAAAAAAACCTTCAATTGCACTAGAAACACTGCTAAACCTATCCCCTTTTGGAAATACTCATACAAGGAGAAGCAAGGAAAAGCTAATTTTAGGCTTCAGAAACAAACTGGATGGGAGCTAAATACTTGGGCACACAACAATAATCAATAAAATCAGACACCGATTCTTAAAAATAGAGATCCCAGAAACACTTTTTACCATATAAAGTCTCAACAGACTACAAAGGAGAAGAAGAATTCAGGAGGAACTCAGATACAGTACCTGGTATACCAATAGCTCCAGAACCATTGAAGGAACTGGATCAGGCATTTTTGTACGAACCCTAAACACGAACAATCAAACTCATTAGGGAAGTACACCTCGGTCTTTCAAGCTGAAATACATGCCATCAATGCTTGTGCCTTAAAAAATCTTAAAAGAGGTTACACTGGCAAAAAACAAAAAAATCTTCATAAGATCGGATAGTCAAGAAGCTATTAAAGCATTAGCATGTAAAAAAAAAAAAAAATAACATCAAAACTAGACAATGAATGCATCCAAAATCTCCAAAAACCTGGGGAACACAACCTGATGATATCTTGGGTTTCAGAACACAAAGTTAGATAGCAGACACACTGGCCAGAGGAGGATCTGCAAGACCATATATAGGCTCTGAACCTATTCTTGTGAAAACAAACAAACACACAATCTTCCATCACACATCCATGAATAAAAAAAAAATAAAAAAAAAAGAAGTGGATAAATTCTAGAGGTAATAGACACAGTGCTACAACACTCACCAAGATAGGAAAACTCACTGCAGAAGAGAGAGAAAACATTGATATATTCCATGATGACCACAAGAAATAGCTACCCAATATTATCTTTGTGTGTGATGCAACCGCTCAATGGAGTCATTACCTGGTGTACAAAGAAAACCCATGGAAAGGAATTAAAGCAATGTCGATCAATGACTTCTTAGGAGATTCACTAGGAATTGAAGAATGAGCAAAATACAATAAGCCAGAAGTCTGCAGTGTTTGGAGAACAAAATCCCCTACTTCCTAGTATCCATCATCATTATTTACTCTTTGCCATCCGTCCGTAAACTCAACTAACACTCGTCTGAAGAGGCCGTAATATTACAATTCTACTGACGTAATATTTAGCCTGACTGTGTCCTGAAGGCTTATGCTGATCGTACAGCTCACATTATACTGATTTGCGGTTTATTAAATTTTCAAAAATGTTCAATTCATTAACAGTTAATAACTAAAAATGTACATTAATCCAAAATGTCCATAAAGTTATATACTTGAAAGATTTTCCTTGAGCCAATCAATTTGGGTTCAACATAATTTTTTATTACAATCAATTAAGGTTCCTAGTTGAGATGAAAAAAAGTTAATGGCGCGAGCGGGATTCGAACCCACGATCTTCGGCTAAACTTGAGGAATGGCAAAAAGGAGGGAAAACTCATAAAGTGGGGTTGAGATGGGAAGTTGATGTCTGGGTGGATCGAGGTCACGATAGCTCAAGTGGTAGAGCAGCGGCGTATCTAGCCGAAGATCGTGGGTTCGAATCCCGCTCGTGCCATTAACTTTTTTTCATCTCAACTAGGAACCTTAATTGATTGTAATGTATTGGCTGGTCAAGTGGACCGCGAAATTAGTGAGTTGGATAATTTTTTATTTTTTTATTTATTGCTATGTTACAACAGCACTACAGTGCTGAAAGCAGCTTAGTTGCAATCATAAATTTTGTATTATGTTTAACATTATTAAAATGTTTAAATAATCCATTGATTACCCTCCTATTCACTTTCCTCACTAGGAAGGAAATTGTGAGTCCATTAGCACTTTAGGTGTCTTAAGGCACGAAAGACAAACAGTATGTTGGGCCGAATGTTGGTCGTCAATACATTGGCCATCTTTGGCTCATCCTCATCAAACCAAGGGGTTGGGCCAAGGGTTTCGGCCGTGTGGAATTGCAGTCAACATCACCCGTTTTGATATTACCGTCAGAAGACCGTTGAGAACCTTGACCATATGGCCAGCCGCTTTATTGCTTCTAATTCGCCTCCCGAATGAAGTGGTTGGTTTTCTTTCGTTGCCTTTGATTTGCTTAGTGTGTACGTGCCTTTTAGCATTGTTGGGGAGGGTTCAGGTATTGGAGTAGAGGATTGGAATGAAGTTCGACATTTGTATGGATGTGTCTGTATCCAAAATGTTGTATTGTGAAGTCTTGTATCAACAATTGTGGAATATTTAAATTTGTTAGAAAAATTTTAAATTGTGAGATTTTCTTTTAAGATCCTGGGGTGATGAACCTGTATCACCAGCACACATAGATGGCAAGAAGCCATAATGCATCTTAAATAACCAAAATGCACAAAAATATTACATTTAATGATCACCATTTATTGTAATCTTGCTCAGTGTTCAAACAAACTAACCAATGTCCAACAATGACTAAAACTACAGGTTTATCACCCTGTAGACTTCAAGAAGAAATATCACAATTTAATTGACATAAAATCAAGTAATAAACACGACATGATCTTTTAAATTAAATTTTAAAATGTCATAGTTCTTTTCCCCTATGCTTTTACATAAGATTCTATGTAGTATTTTTATATCACATTTCTGAGCGAAGGGGAATATGGAAGAAAATTCCAACGGCTACAGACGGAATAAAGCCCACAACTACAGGTTCTATGAGCCGAGAGTCTTTCATGTAAACCACTTGGCTACCGCAGTCCCCCACCAGATAGAAAATATTAAGGTCTATGAATTACTAAACAGCTTTCTAGCCTTCTACCTCCAAAAAAATTTACAAGCAGCATGTAATGTATAAAAGTTGCCTTGTATCATTCTAGTTTTGTTCCAGGGATAGATTGAGATCACCCAGCCCAAGCCGATTGTCGAGGGAAGATTCAGAAGATGGTTAGTACTTATTATAAGACAAGCCGGTCAACAGATTCATTATTATTAATGTTTCGTCCTTAATAATTTAATAATGAATTTGTTTTCCAATCTGTCAGGACAATAAAGGAATTTTCCTTGATGACAAGTCTCAATATATTTCAGATATTCCACTGATTCCTGAAATACAAGAAATTCAAGAAGATGACTATTTAGGTGACATCTCAGAACCACCAGTGTAAGGCAGTATTTTGTACAATTCTTATTCGGACATTCATCAGGTTTGATTTTATTCCAGAGTTCCTATGTATAATATTACTTCGTTTTCGCAATTGAACTCTGACTTGAAGAAATACGCATCATTTTCTATGGTGGACAATGTCAACTTAGGACTCTTGACAAAACATCTGTATAATGAACAAGACTTAAAAGAGGTAATTAAAGTTTTTATTATCGCTTGACTACTTTGACTTTTGTTTTTTTAAATTAAAGGGCGATAACAGATGGTCGTGGGATCTTCTATTCACTGAAGTCAGTTCAGAATTGAGGGCAGAATGGGAAGAAAAGCAAAAACAATCGGAAGAATAACATCGTACTGACACTTATCAATAGTATTTTATAAATGTAAAACTAAATGTTAAAGACTCACCAAACAGTATTTTTGTATAGTGATAAGATGTGCAATACCATTAAATGGTTTGAACTCATAAAATTGTTTCTATTTATTGTTATATGTATAAATAATGTTTTCCTCTATTTAAAAAAAATAAAATAAAATAAAATAAAATAAAAAATTGGGGGGGAATTAGGTTCTCCAGATCTCAAAGTTTGACGTAAATTATACCTCGCCCACTCTCAATTTCTGGCCAGCTGGACCACGAGAACTTTTTTTGTTTTTCGTCTCCATGGAAATTTGAAAAAATAGACAAAATTAAAATAAATAAAAATCTCTCCGGCTAAACATACTACCCATCAAATTCCAATAGAAATTTCACTAAGAGAAAAAGAGACGTCGCAGGGTGGAAGAACAGGATTGGAAAGATTCAGGGAGCAGAGGAGATAGACTTGTAACAGGATGCGTATTCCCCTGAGGGCATTTTGATGCGCAAAACTCGTACCACCCCATCCTTGCCTGGGTACTGCTCAATGATGTATCCAACAAGCCATGATAACGGATGTATTTGTGCTTTCCGCATAGCAACAAGTTTTCCAAGAGCCATGTTGTCGGTCTGCCGTTGCCATTTCGTACTTTGCTGCAGAGTGGTCAGATACTCCAGACGCCATTTTTTCCAGATGTCTGCCATGCATTTTTGCAGGAATTGCCACCAAGTAAGCATATGTGGCGCATGATACTAGGGCATCGTCGACTAAAAAATGTCCAGGTGTCAACATAGAATAATTGTCGGGATCGGATGAAATCGTGTAGAGAGGGCGTGAATTTAGAATTGCTTCAATCTTGATAGCCACGGTGCACAACTCCTCAAAAGTTAATGGTTGATGATCCAGAACCTGTGTGAGTTGATATTTCAGTGACTTTACCGCCGCTTCCCATAATCCTCCAAAGTGTGGGGCTGACGGCGGTATGAAGCTCCATTTGATGCTCCGCTTCACCATCTGGACGTCGATTTTTTGTCTCGTTTTCTCGGAGGCCCACGAGACATAAAGTTGAGACAGCTCATGTTTAGTTCTGACGAAATTTTTTGCGTTGTTGGACATCATCTTATTCAGGATCCCTCTTCTAGCAACAAATCGGTCCAACCAAGCGAGAAATACCAGAGTCAACAACTGCGAGACCACCTCAATATGCACAGCCATAGTTCCGAGACAAACAAGAAAGCAAATATAGGCATTGCATCGTAGAGATTCCCGTATAGCTCATGTCAAAAACTTACTACATACTATCCCTTTATGTAAAATAACTTTACTACCTGCTTGTACAGTAAACATGGAAAAGAGGTATTGATATGAAAGGACCTCATGAAAGATTAATTCAGGTTAATCCAAAGCACCTTTGCTCTATGTTGGCAGCTGCTTCTTAGGACAGTCACAACTTTTTTTTTTAATTTATTACCTATTGCAAGAATTTCTACACATCTGTATAAGTAATATTTTGTCCCATATTTGTATATCCATATTTGTTTAGTGACCATATTAATTATTCTTTTCATCTGAGGTTTATGGTTAAGATGAAAAATTAGTGTCACGAGCAGGATTTGAACCTCCATGAAAAATAGAAAAAAGAGAAAATTTGAACGGTTGTAGGTTAAGATGGGAAGTTGGTTCTGAGGGGATCGAAGTTACGATAGCTCAAGTGGTTAGAGGAGCAGCTTTATTGAGCCAAAGGTCATGGGTTTGAATCTCGCTCGTGACACTAACTTTTTTATCTAAACCAAGACCTTATATAAAAAGAATATATACTAATTTTTCATCCCAACCTAAGACCTTAGATGAAGAGAATAATTAATTGGAGTAATATCTTGTATTATTAAACTAATATTGTGTATTTCTGGTCCCGTTTAAGTACAACTTTTTGATGGTGGCGTCCACTGCAATCCGGCCTTCTGAAGCTAAAAATGCATTAAAAAACATTATTAAAAGAAAATGGCAGCATCGACGGGCCAGTTGGGCAGAGATATCACGAGCACTGCCAATAAGTGGCCCTCAGAGGATCTTATTTTATCCTCACATGATTAAGGATAAGCCATGCGAGGTTGACACACAGGCACTTTTGGTCCAAAGCAAGCGCATCTGTCAAGCACGTAGAGAAAGGTTGCTCGATGTGTCCCACTTATTAATTTTAGCTGTTTCTTGGCTCAATATACAGAGGTTCTACAAATGCCACACGGCAGCAATTACTTGGGTCCATGTTTCGATTTTTGGAAGAAACAGGGCTACTTTATTCAATACAGTACTGATATATGTACTGTTTTGTGTACTCCAGTGTGTGTTATTAGTGAATGTATATATTTGCCTGAATGCGTAGTTTAAGCGGGCTGATGGAGGAATACCGAGTGCCTCACCACCCTGAGTGAATCGCATTAAAATAGGAAAGAACGTATTTAAGAGTGAATGAAAGTGAGATTGGGAGACCAACGTCGGTGGCTGGATGGAGAAGAGGTCTGACCCTGGATTGCACCCAGGGTTGGTGATTCTCGACATCGTAAATTTCACAAAAGCCGGAATTGCCGTATATGTTTATACATGTATGTGCAAATTTAGCTTATATAAATCAGTAATATCAACTTGTCTTATTAGGAAAACTTTCATTCAGCTTTTTCTTTTGTTAAAAAATGATCAATTTTAACAAAAACATATGTAAAAATAAATCCAATTCTTCTCCAACTACATATCTTATTGTTATTTTTGATATAATATTCTTTCTTAACTTATTAGTAATATTACATGTGTGATGGTACAGTATCGTTTTATTTTCAAATGTATTTTTCTTTAAAACCATTTGTTATTTTCAGCTGGTAGTAGTTTTTGTTGTTCATTTTTATCATTAATTTTATACACACCTTGTGTTTCTTTTTTTCCCCTTTAATTTGTTTGTATCAGACGAATAAATTATATTCTATAAATATGATTTAATTTATGTGTTCTCTCTCGTTCTTCATGCGAATTTTCGTTAGGTTCTAATTTTTCTGTTGAGGCTTAAATTATTTTATTATTAACCGACAAGACATGCAGAACACAGGTAAAAATAAATTAATTAAAAATGATAAGAATATAGTAAAAAGATCGGATATATCGAGAGATTTTATTTTACAGGTGGTTGAAAATCATTACCATGATATTGCAGAAATTATATGAAAACCTATTTGTTAATTTTTCTTATCGAGTAAATATAGAAAAATTAAATGATGTTAGACTGAGCTGTGATAATTATAATGACCAGTGATAATTTTAACGTAAGGAATTCAATATTTATTTAAGAAGTTTTCTCATAATTTTTCTATTCTAATTATTTCTAATAATTCTAGGCTAAACATGGACTTGTAGAATTCAAGTCTTTGTTTAAACCGCAAGATCTGAAGAGGATGTGCCCAGAAAGGAAAAAAGAGAAAGTCGAAGATGAATGTGTTCACACTTTGTCGAGCCAAATCATATCTCTGATTTCTTCTTTCAAAAATCCTGGCATAAACTCAAATTCAAAATTGGAACCGGCCGCTCATGTGAGCTTAAGCTTTAAATTAAAAATCATTGCCAGTCTTACCATTTAATGATAACAATAATTTCAATTAATTATTATTTTTATCTAAGGTCTTGGTTGAGATGAAAAGTTAGTATCTGCTCTAACCACTTGAGATATAGTGACTTTGATCTCCTTCTTCTCAACCAAGACCTTAAATAAAAAGAATAATTAATTGAAATAATTAATGTGGTCAATTATGAATTAATATAATAATTAAAAAGAAGTAACGACTTTGCTAACAGCTCCTTATGGCCACTTCACAAGTCGCTCAGAATCAAATCCTGATTATACATTTGAAAAAAAAAAAAAAAAAAGAAAAGAAAAACGATAGAAAATTCAAACGGTTGTAGGTTTAGATGAGGAGTTGATGTCTGAATGGATCAAAGTCACGACAGCTCAAGTGGTTAGAAGAGCGGCTTTATTGAGCCGAAGGTCATGGGTTCGAATCTCACTCATGACACGAACTTTTTCATCTCAACCAAGACCTTATATAAAAAGAATAATTAATTGAAATAAATTATATGGTCAATTATGACCACTAAACATATATGGTATAATAATATTCTTTCATCATTAATAATTAGGAATTTAAAGTTGCAAAGATGAAAAACAACCTGTTGGCTAATAACAATGATACGTCAAAAGAGAGTTATTTAAATGAAAACACTGCAAAGTTTCTTGAATTGATCAAAGAGAACAATGATCTTAAAGCGGAAAATAAAAAACTGAAATTAGAATTGAACGAATGGGCATCTTGGTATGAAGACTTAAAAAAGACTTTGTCCTCTTTTCCATCCGTAGAGGTAACACTTTCAAAATGATTAATATAAAATGTAATATTCACGAGTCTTATTGTAGGAATTTAACAATAAAATAAGGACGGACAATAAATTGACTAAAATGCTGATTGAGTCGCAGAAGAAATTGAGAGCGGCGCACATGGTGATTTCTTCTTTGAATCAGACTAAAAATGATCTAGAAACAAAACTAAATAAGGCCTCGGGGGAAACTGTAAAATGCACCTGCATGACGCAAAGCAAATATTTTAATAACAACGCTACTCTTTCTTCTTCGAGTCAATATACTTTGACTTGTCACCATTCTAGGGATTCAGAGAAGGTGAATTGGCAGTTCAAATATTTTTCAATGAATCAACCTTGAATCTTCTTCACAGGAATTTATTAAAAGCAGCTGCGAACAGAGTGAATCTACGTCAGAGGAATTGCTTATAGAACAAGAATCATCTATAAATATATCTTCGAACAATTTGGAGTCTAGCAATTGTCAATGCCAGAGTGACAGCAGTGTTTCTTGGTTGGAGGTATCTGACAAAAGCAAAAATTCTACGGAGCAGCTGTCACGTCAACACAGGCCATGCGATACGAGTACATCATCTACTAGATTCACCCAAGATGATACATTTTTAAAAGTATGTAGATGTACAAAAACTGACTTATCCAACTGTTTTGCTCGATAATTTAGTTTATAAATTAAAATAAATGTTATTAACAATTTTCTTTGAAAACTCTGAGGAATTGTGGTCAGATTAAATATGTTTAGGGATGACTAAAGCACTATCCTGCCAGGCTACTTACTCCAGAGCACGGGGAGGAGTTCAACCTGCAGTTTTTAGTGTGTATATCTCAATATAGAGCCACAAGGCCAGGGAATTGTTTTTATAGTCGAAATAGAAATTGATTATTGTTAGTCGGCCTACAGTGTTTTTGTTTTTATAGTGTAAACAATCTAACGCTGCTAATTACATTTCATTAGAAAAGCCTATTTCTGTTTAGACCGATGCACCAGCAGTGAAGGCCGAGGTGATGAAAATAATGAAGGAACGAGGGATAACCAAGAAAAAGTATTTGCAAGAATTAACACAGGGGAAAAACAGAATGTTTGAGAAAATTAAAACCATAGAATTAACACGTAAATGTTTTTTGGTTTTGTTTTATATTTGAGGGAAAAATTTTATAACCAGCCCCTTTTTAAAAGTAGTTTTGTTTTTGTTTTTAGAAGAACGACTAGAGAATGAACTCAATGGGTATAAAATGGAGTTCTGTGATATACAAGATGAAATTGCGACGTTGAGATCTGAAGATCATATAAAACACGACAAACAAATTACATCGCTTATTACAAATCAAAAGAAGCTTACCAACATGATGTAAGACCATAGATGTTTGTAAAAATTAGATATGTGTTGGACAAACAATCGCTTAAAAAACATAATAAAACCAAAACCTTAACAACAAGGGGGGGGGATGCATTTTTAAAACTGCAGGAAAAACAATGTACCACTCGCTTAAAGAGACTCTGATGTAATTGTCCATTTTCACCAAATTTTTTGGTAAGCACTGGCAAATACTTCAAAATCTATTCTACTCAAGAGAAAGTTATGTGGGTAAAGCAATATTATAGTGTAATTTGGTCATTTCTGATCACTTTGGTCTGCTCATCCTCGCTGGGTTGGTTTGACAGCTGCCTTTCAGCATTTCATTAACTTCAGTGCGTCAGTGTGATCCGTAACGACCAAATTGCAATTTCACCAGCCCTACCAACCATTTAAGTTTTCTCAGAGTGGCAGGAAAATTTAAAGAACCACCATTGTTCCATTATGCAAGTTATTAACATCTTCAAATCTAGTAGGAATGTGAAATTAGTTCGTAGAAAAATTCATCACCAGTGAGGACTAAGCACACCTCGACTTCTTTCTGTACCGCTACATAAACTATAAAATTAAGACAGACCATACCAACATAAACATTTGATGTCTTGCCAGTAAAACTGAGAACTTATTTAGAGGGTTGGTGATGGAGAAAAGAACCGAGTCTTTCTTGAAGTCTCCATGCAACACTATAAACATGGGCGTGGCTAGCTAGAAGGGACTGATAGTCCATTTAAGCAGTTGGATGGGTTTTTTCTCTTGAAAAACGCACACCTGTAGCTGAGCCTTTCTGTATTTTATATGTATACAGCATTGTATATTTTACATGCATTTAGATAAATTTTTTGGACGCTTCTTCACATACCTCAGCTAGCAGTCTTCCCATCCTTATAAAGTCGACATTTAAACCTATTTCACTCTTTTATATACGCTTATCTGTAGTTGATTATTCGGAAATCGTGACCGCATCTCACGATTTCCGAATAATCATCAACTAACGGTCACTAATCACCACACACTTATCTGTAGTAATTATTTTCGTTTTCATGTACTCTTCAAAGTTTTATACTTTTTTAGTTTACACACTGTTTGTTTTAGTATGTGGCTTCAGCCTGGCAGATGGTTTTACCATGCCTGCCTTAAAATATTCATTTCATTTTGTTTAGTATAATTTTTTGTTTCTAAATAAACTAATTACTGATTTATATAAGATCACCTCTGCATTTGCATATATAATTACCTATCACTTCTTTGCTTGTGGGGAATCCAGATTTTGTGTAATTTGCAATAAATTATTGGGAATCACGGTAGTCAAGAGGTTAGGGCATCCGACTCATATTTGCCATTCTTGATGTTCTGGGATCAATTCCTGGCAGAGCCCATGGCTTTTTAATAGACAATAAAAAGAAAAAAATGTATTGTGTGATTTAACCCCTCATCTCTGACACTCAACAAGTAGTTGGATGGACATTAATCCTCCTAACCGACAGGAATTACTTTACTTTTACTTTTACAATAAATAAAAAACCTCAAGAATCATCCACTCATGGTGTTGGCAGTTCGGAGTCAACTTTCAGCCAGCAAGGTTGGGTCTGTCAACAGCTAGGTCATTTCATCTCCCGACATGATCAGTTTCCACTCTCTCTCTCTCTCTCTCACTCTTAAATGCATTTTTCCTATTTATACGCCATTCACTCAGTTGGTTAAGTAATATAATTGAGGTTCGGTACTCAATAGTCAGCCATCAGCCTTCTCACACTACACCTTCATGCTAATACATACATTCACTATCAACACACACTAGAGGATACAAAACCATACATATATCCAATTTGGTCTAAAAAAAAAGTCCTTATGTCAACCTTCCATGGCCTATCCTTAATCGAGTAAGGATAACCCTGACTTAACATTTTGCTATCGGCACTCTCACACTATACATTCATGCTAATAAATTCCTTCAGTCTTGATATATACAAAGAAACACAATATGCAATATCAAGTACTATATACAGTTAAACAATCTTGTTTCCTCTACAAACTGAAACAGAGAATCCAGATACTCGCTGCCCTGCTCAAGCACAATTCTCAAATTGGGTGGCTTTCCTGCATGTTTTCTATATTGAGCCAACAAATTGCACCCTTCAAATACGGTGGGACACATCCACCAGCCTTTCTCTACCTGCCAAACACATGTGGGCTTTGGTCCAAAAATAAGTGTCCATGTGACAATCTGCATGGCCTATTTTAAACCTGGTGAGGATGACCCTTCGAGTCAGATCCTCCAAGGTCAAACCTGGTGAGGATGACCCTTCGAGTCAGATCCTCCAAGGTCTACTTACCAACAGTGTTCTTGATATGTGAGAGTTTCTCTGCTGATCCAGCCCATTGATGCTGACACTTTCTACTTCTTACTTAATATTCTGCCATCACTCTCACACAACACATTCACACTAATAAATACCTTAATTAATTGTAATGTATTAATTTGTCAAGCGGACCACGAAATTACTGAATCTAATAAATAACGAAAAATGGCAAAAAGGAGGGAAAATTCAAAAGGAGTTGGGATGGAAAGTTGGTGTCTGAGTGGATGGAAGTCACGGCAGCTCAAGTGGTAGAGCAGCGGCGTCTTTAGCCGAAGGTCATGGCTTCGAATCCCACTTGTGACACTGACTTTTTTATCTCAATACCTTACTTAAATATTAATTGATTGAAACTAATAAATACATTGAGTCTTAATACGTACAAGGCGAATTATGTATAAAGTGCTACTATATACAGTAAAACAGACCTATTTCCTCTAAAAATTGAAACAGGGGACCTAGATTTTCACTGCCACGTTCAAGAAAAATTCTCATATATGGTGGAATCTAAACAACTGTACAGTTTTCATGGTAGTAAATGTTAAAAAAAAAAAAAAAAAAAAAAAAAATTGCGTACAAATCCAGATTCTAGTGATAACAGTCGCTAATATTGATTTTATATTTTTCAGTTATGAAAATGAGAAGCAAATTGAACTGATTTCTTCGAAAAGGAAAAACTGTCTGAAGTCCTACTTTTGCATGAATCAATTTATCGAATTCCTCCAGGGGATGAAATGTTAAATTTTGAATTAGACAAAAATATGTAGAATAAAGAATATAAACTTGAACTCTTTTTAAATTTTTCTACAGACCAAAATGTCCATAAAAAATATGCCCATCCCTCATTAGAGACGGGATCGGGAAAAATAAATACCCGTTAAACATTAATGAAGAAATAAGTATGAAAGATGGGGCACCAGACATTCTATTTTTAACAAATACAATGAAAAAAATAAAGAGGAAGGAATCAAAGATGGATTATAAAAAATAAAATAATAATAAAACTCCCCAGCACAAGAGAAGAGAGGAAAACCAAAACTTAACCATACCAACCTACCCTGAACCAATAGAGACCACAAAGAGGGTTGGCTTTGTGTTCAATAAAATAAAAAATAAAATACTCTCAAATCTTAACATACGAAAATAACACCTTTATTAAAAACTAACAAACAAAATTAACATATCCTCTTAATAATTTTTTTTTTTTACAAGGGTTCGCAACAGCAGAGGTTATATCAACCCTCGGGGTGCTGGTTTCGGTAAAAAAACGATTTGCAAGCATGTCGGGTTCGAATCCAGCAATAACTGGATTCGAACCCAAGACCTTTACCTTACAGTGATGAGCACCGTGTCAACGCCTAAACCGTTGTGGCCACCGACGCCCCCCCTCTTAATAATTGATTAAAAACTAATCACTATGGTTAACCCACAAAATAAACAAAACTAAGAGAAATATAACTTTGTGCTCTGTGTGACTTAAAAATCTAGCAAGACAAAAACAAGCCTCGTCCATATCGAACACAGAACTTATGTTTTGGTAGCTGCTGCTGCCTGTGACAATCAAACAGTTTTTCCAGAGCTTTCTTCCTAGCCCCGACGGTGAGAAATTCGTCCTCCTTACTGCAGCCCTGAATCCTTTTTCAGGAATCCCTCATCCAGGAGGATGTCTTCGGCTACACATAAAGAGGAAGACCCAATGAACTGCCTTCTATTTTTTCAGGCCTACTGGACTTTTTGCCTCCTGACTCGTCCCAGTTAGTTGGAAAATACTCCCAGGACCCATCCTGATCCCTTGATCCAGGATGGCCTGTTGCGCAAGAGGAGGAATTAGGAAAATACGGTGAAACAATGGCCAGTCTGTCTCATTGAGCCACCTAATTCGACTCCTATGCTGTTGTTACCCTCTTATCGCTGCTCCTTCTCTCCGCTCTGCCGCATCTTATTTTCTCTTTTTTATTTTATTTTTAAGTAAACATTTTTGTGTACAAAACCAAGCATTGTTTATACATGACAACTTTGGTCCTGACCTGGATGTTTTCTTTTCCCTGACATTCCTCTTTTATTTTATTTACAAGAAATAGTGTTTATCCAATAGAGTACAGCTTTATTTTAACAAAAAATTTATTTATTTATGAACAAAAATAACAGTTACAAAGGTACAAATGTTTAACGGGGCAAATAATTTTATGATTATTTGGTACAAATTGTTCAAAACGCAGATTGGAATGTGAAAATGAAAAGAGAGCCAGGCTCGCTTAAAATTTGTTTCAAGTGATGGGTAAATTGTCATAATCACATCTCGAAAGGCTACTTATTTTTAAATTAATACTAATTAGTGTAAAATTTTGGTTTACAATTCATTAATTACAACAATAATAACAACCGGATAATTAAAAACAAATATTTACATTTTTCTTTTTATTTGCTGGAATTGTTTTATCCAGCATGACAGCCTTGAAATTAAGTGCACTTAACGTTGTAAACTCTTTTAAAAGTAATTGTAGGAAGTACTTTCTTTACAAGTTTCAATGCCGGATAACTTTCAACAAAGGCATCTGACAGCAAATTTTGTGTAAAAAAGTGTTTAAACTATTTGAGGTAGACTAGAAAAAATATTCGTGGAAAAAGTAGATATGCAACTTTTCTAATGATAGTGCATAAAAGAGTAAAATCTAATTGATTATTATTCTGAACTTATTACAATAAATTACTAATAGGACATGTGATGTTTAATAATTAATTTTTTGAGCAACTAGCTTAGCATAGTAATATGTTATTTCTTAATTCTTTTTTCATAATTAGTCATTTTGTTTTATTAATGATAATAAAAAAATTTAATAAATATATCACAATACAAATAAATTGGAAGAATCAATCTTTAGTTCTGAGGTTAGAAAAGATGAATGGATAATAGAAACAAGTTTGCCAACAGATGCTCAGATAGAGTGAAAAATAAGAAAATATATTTTTTTAAACTGGTGTCAATTATACCCTGTTTGCTACAATGATTCAATCTGGTTGAATGGAATGTGACTGCAGAGTTATTTTGAAACATGGCACAGAACTAAAACTTTAAAAAATACTAGAAACAGGGAAAAAGAACTATTTTTTGAACGAATCATTGATTATTACAGGTTTAATTAGGAAAGAGAGACAAGAAAAATATTCAAAAACTACTGTAATGATTCTATATCAATTGGATTTACGTTCTATTATTTGATATAAACTAGCATTGGAGATATCAATTGATTATAGTATAATAAAAGCTTGAAAATTTTGTTAAATATCATTTAAAGGTAATGAAATAACCCACGTACAGTCAGATTTCAGTGTGAAACGTTGGACGTTCAATTCCCAACAGTGAGAAAACTGATGGCAGCAGATACAGTGTATTGAATCCGATTGAGGAGTAGGTGATGAACTTGTAGCAGAGTTCAACGGTGTTCTTTGTAGACGATGCGGTCGTGTGGACGGTTTTTTTCAATTCGTTAGCATTTAACCGGAGAAAGAAACACAATGTTGCATACGAGGCGGATTTGCAAATTGCTCTCGTCGCGAGAATACAACTGAAGCCGAGTGCACATCGCAATAAAGTCAGCCCTGTAATATAAATATTCAATAATAGAAATAATGCTTCCACCAGGGGTCTTTTCATACCAATCATTTCGTACGATGGCCAAATTATTTCATAAGGAGGAGACGCTTTCGGCTCAGACATCGTGCCGAGTTGATAATTGGTCCATGCACCAATGTGGACACCGATGCAGACACTTATGATCATAGTAGTGTCTTGTCTGTAAATTATTGAGGACAAATATTTCTTCATGGAGAGCTCAAATAATTTCCAGTCTTGGACAATATACAATGACAGGCAAAAAATTCCACCCAATTGATTTTTTTTTTCATTTTTTCAAAAAAAGAAAATTCTGTGCTCAATTTGTCTCATTGTTTTTGCCAATAAATATTTGTTTATGATATGTTTTAAATTGGGAATATCAATTAGAGGTAAACACACTTAATCTTTAATCTAAAACAAGGATAAAGAATTTTTTAATATATACTTTTTATGGAATTTAAAATGTTTATTCAGTCTCACATGAATTCTGAAGCAATAAACCTTTTTAGTCTTCATCTTTGTTTTCTTAATTTCAATTTTTAAACTTAAAAATGCCACTTAGTGTTGAGGATGTTGCGGATTGATGATGGACGTTCCATCAGGTATGCAGCTATTACCAACGGTGTTTCCTACGAAACACTGTGAGACGTCGTTAGACGTTTTCGAGAAACTGAGTCCAACCATAGACCATAGGTTCTGGATGCCCTAGGGTAACAGAACCACAGGACGACCATTTTTTGACTTTGAGCATTTTGCGAAACCGGAACCTTACTGTTGTTCAAGCGATTCATCAGCTCCAGGAAGTTCGAGGTGTCTAAATTTCTGAACGCACTGCTCGAAGAAGATTAAATCAGTATGGGCTGATGGCTTTTTGCCCTGTAAGAGGACCAGAATTGACCAGAACACACAGGTCTTGCAAGGCTTCCATTTGCTCAAGAACACAGCCATTGGTCTGCTGTACTTTTTATAGATGAGTGTAGATTACTCTACGATCTCCAGATGGGTGTGAAAGAATGTGGAGAAGGCGAAAAGAAAGATACAAAGCCTGAAATTTTTGTCAGAGGCGACTTTTTCAACGTATCTCAGTGATGGTGTGGGCAGGAATTTCAATGGAGAGTCGCACACAGTTGGTTGTTGTTCATGGAGGGTCTTTGACGGCCACTTGCTATGCGGATAAAATTTTGAAACATTATGCACTGCCTATCCTCGATGAAATCAGCGACAATCCTACTCTAATGCACGATAATGTCCGTCCACATGTCGCATTGTACAAATGTACCTTCAACAGCATAACATCAGTGTCTTAGGCTGCCCAGAATGTTCTCCAGACTTGAATCCCAACAAACATTTATGGGATTATCTCAAAAGACGAATAAGAGCACGTCCATCACTGATACAATCCACAATCTTGAAAGGACTCTTCGTGAAGAATGGGCTAACCTCCAGCAAAAAAACATTTCCAGACTGATGGAAAGTATGCCGAAGCATCTTTGAGTTGTAATTAAGGCAAATCGAAGAAATATTGAAATGTTAAATAAAAATCTAAAACAAATTTTATCTGGTGTCTTTGTCCCATTTTCCTTAGCAATTTACTTTTTTTTTTTTTTTCTTTTTTCTTTTTTAAGGCAAAGATTCAATTATTAAACATTAAAAAACGTGAAACTTTGATTAATATATAAAAATGTATACAAATCAAGTTATAATATTAGTGGGTGGAATTTTTTGCCTGTCAGTGTATGTATTGGTTATGTGCATAAGTTTTTTTCTTTCTTCAAATTTTGATTTTAATCCTTATAAAGGCAATCTAAGATTACCTGCTAGTCATGTTAGATATAGGGAGGGAAAAACCCCATTAAAAGAGGTTGTTAAGAAAGGGCTAGTTGATACCAAAAGACAGTCTAGAACAACTGCGATGCATACAACATGGAAGCAGATAAAATTCACTTGAAGCATTACTTACCATAAACGAAAAAACTTATGCACATACTCAATTTTTATTTATTTATGTTTTTTAATAGACTTTTATATAACAAATGGGAAAAATTTACCTTGTTGGAGTCCAAATGTTCGTTTTAGGGTAAAAAGCTATTATGAGCACACTTCCAGTTATAAGTATCATAGGCGCCCAGCGGTTGGTCAGCCAGAAATGATCCATGTTGTCGACGATCGGCACAACCGGTATCATCAATATCAATGCCAATATAAGTCCTACAATTACATCCTTAAAAAAAAGAGTTAATATTTCAAGAATCTTTATGATTTATACTGCAAGGGATAGATCACATACCAAGACCGTATGCATACCCAAGTACAGCCTGCTCACGGATATTACAGAACACCATAAAACCGCAATTAAAAGACCGACAATAAATGGATACTATATAAAATCAAAACAAACACAGACAAAAGTTATGTTTTAGTTTAATTGAAAGATCGATTAAATCAGAGACACCTCATATCTTTGCGATGTGTAGAAAAGAACGGAGAACGGTATCGATACTCCGACCATGGCGTGAGTAGATGGCATGCCATATTCTAGAGCCCATTTTTGCTGCAATCTGAAAACAGGTGGGCTGGCAGGTCTTGGCCAGCAGATAATATCTTTTATTCCCTGACCTGAAACAAACAAAAACAAGATGGTTAATGAAATGAAAAATTTTATTGTTAACAATTTTTTGACCTTGTGCTTCTACATTAGCTGTGGAAATAGTCACATGCTGAGAGGACAACGCCGGCCAGGCTTCCAGGGCCTGCCAACCCAGCTTCAACCGATGAGTGGGGGAGAAGATGGCAGACTTGCTCATTTATTTTTCTTTTAATTATAATGTTGGAATTTTCATTATAGAGGTCTTTTGGATATGTGAATAAAAACCTTTTGACCATTAAACCATTAAAAAAACACCATATAACCACCGACAACAAAAAACAAAAAAAAACCATTTGTTTCAAAATAATCACGAAAAGTTCAAATCTCCAAGATGCCCAGAGCTAGTATGCTCTGGAAGCCTGACCCACACCCATGAGATAGTAGCAACCAACCTGACCACCCCCAAAACACACACCCAATACCATCCCCACTGCATGCCCTCAGAAAACGTAGTATTGTACATATTTAATAACAAAAATATGTAGGGAATGAAACAAACTATAACAATATAATATTACTTAATATTATTCAATTAATTAAGGTTTTAAGTTGAGCTAAAATGTCAGTGTCATGAGCGGGATTCGAACCCACAACCCTCGGCTTGATACGCCGCTACTCTACCACTTCAATTCCCGGGTTCGAATCCCGCTCGTGACACTGACTTTTTATCTCAACTTAAAACCTTAATTAATTGAATGATATTAATTGGTCAAGCGGACCACGAAAAATAGTGACTTACTTAATATTATTTATATAAATTTATTATACTTTTTATCTAAGGTCTTGATTAAGATGAAAAAGCTAGAGTCACGAGCAGGATTCAAACCCACGAACTTTGTCTGAATATGCCGCTGCTCAAACCACTTGAGCTACCGTGACATCGATCCACATGGATACTAACTCCTCAACCTACAACCTTTAGCATTTTCCCTCTTTTTGCGGTATTTTCAAATATCATGTAATCAGGACTCAATTGTTGGTGACTTATGCAGACACGGGTAACTGTTAGGAAGTAACTACTTCTGTAATTATTATATCAATCCATATATGTAAGTACTAGTTATAATTGACCGTATTAATTATTTAAATTAATTATTCTTTTTACCTAAGATCTTGGTGGTCTTAAGACACGATAGCTTATGGTTAATGGAAGCAGCATGTTGAGCAGAAGGTCATGGGTTCAAATCCTGCTCATGCCACTAGCTTTTCCATCTCAACCAAAACCTTAGATAAAAAGTACAATTAATTTAAATAATTAATAATGTCAATTATGACTAATAAATACGTACATAGATTATTTTTTGTTTCTTCTTCAGGACGTTTCTGTACCTTAGATTTTGAGTTCAAAAAATGCGTTGATGTAGTTCGTGATCCTGCTCATCAGGATAAAACAAATGAAAATTTTAGTTTCATTTGTTTTATTTTAATAACATTTTTAATTATATTATTTTTCATAATTTTTTAACAATGTTGCCTTTTAACTTTTACACTATTTTATAGTTGCAATGATTTTTTAATGTTTTTATTACATTATTTTTAATAATCAATAAAATATAATAATTAATTTTAACTTTTAAATAACTAATTTAGCCCTGGCTTCAGGAGGAAAGCATATATGGCTCAAAAATAATCTTAGTGAAACTTACTACATGGACATTTATGCTTGTTTGTTAGGTTTGTATGTGCTGTTACTATCACAAAGAAATAAATACTCTTTTTTGTCTCCTTGTAAGTAACCCTTACGAGGAGGAGTTTATTCAAGCCGTTCCCATTGAGTTTGTAGTATTATTTTACTTTTATTTATACTTTGTATATTTTAATTTTGTACACTTTTGGCATATTATTTTAATGAAATTATTTACTGTATTTAACATTTGTTATTATTTACTTATATAACATTTATTTTCACTAAAAGAAAACAAATAGATTTTACAGTTAGTTAAAAATTATGAGTACATTGCATTAAATTAAATCGGTCCATTTTATTTATATAATTAATAAAATCTTTTGGATGACTGTTTTGTTTTAAAATTTATTTGGATGTCAGTTGTTATTCTATCTTTGACAGACTTTTTGTCCATTCCCCTCATTGCTATTTTCCCATTCTTGATTCCATTTTTTGATTATCCTTTATCTAATTTGTTTCTACACACTACAGTGCAGAAATAGGCTTTCTTTCGCACTCAGCTGTCCATGTATCATCTGTAGTCCTTCTTTAGCTTACAGTCATTCACTGACCACTATTACCATTAAAGCAAACAACTAACTTCAATTACTGAGGACCAATATATGCAAGAAAAGTGTCACAACTCAAAAAGGGGTAGTTTACTATATTATATTGGATTTTACAGGTTTTGTGTTTTTGCTTAAGGCAGAGAAACGAAAGACAATATTGATGGATCATGTCAGTTTTTTGGGCAACAACCATAATGCCGTGTACTTAATGCATAAAATTATTTAGACCGTGAGATGCGATCTGGTGTGATGTGGGTTTAAAAAACATTTTCTTTATTGTGCCAATGTTTCGATCTTTACTGAGATCATCTTCATTTATAAACATTGTTTAAATTATACAAATACAATGTAAGGTGGGGAAATGAATTTATACAATGATAGAAATTTTAGACTCAATGAAAGTATTTGTACGCACATTGTTTGTTTTCTGTATAGATGTGTCATTACTGATGACCATCAGTAATGATACATCTGCACAGAAAACAAACACTTTGAGTGAGGGAAATACTTTGTTTAAACTAAAATTTCTATATTGTGAACCAAATTTTATAAATTCATTTTCACATTTTACATTTATTTGTATAATTTAAACAACGTTTGTAAATCCCAGGCCTTGAAGATGATCTCAATAAAGATCGAAACGTTGGCTGCTTTATTTGAAAAATAAATCGAGGGGAATTTTATTTTTATTTTTGTAAATTGTAAATAATTGAACATTTGAAATTGTCTGATAAGAGAAAGATGAAACGGTAGTATAACCTGATGCAGAATACTACCTCGCTATCTGTTATACTTCAAGTCTGCCTACTCATCACCCGACTATTATTTTGGTCCTTTGTAATTAAATAATTAATTGTAAGAAAAGTCTAAAACTATATTAAGTATATTTTTAGCATTTTGCCGTTTTCATTCGGCTTTATTGCTTATTAAAATAGTTGTAATGATTAACGAAAGTCTTATCTGTGTTTACATTAGTTATCAATATGTAATGTTATTGTTAACGATTATTAATCATTTTATAGGGTGGCGAGGTTTCTGTGTCGGGGGTTGATTTGTGATTTGCTTGGATTGTTTAATGTCGATTGTTATAATGAAAAAATGTTAAAATGATATACCGATGCACATGATGATTGTCCAGACCATGACGACCCGGCGTCCGACGGCGCCGTCGATGTTCCAGAACCAGAACGGTATGAAAGATGCGTAGAATATCTCGTCGCCGAGCTCCGTGCCGAAAACGAACAAGTAGTACCAAAATTTGTGAGTAACTAGATAATTTTTGGATTCAACGTCCGAGCCGGATGTCGGCCCCTCTTCCGAAGCCGGTTCGCTTTGGATGATTCCATTTGGGCTGCTTTTCGACGGTGTAGTCGGCCTACGGCGTGCTTTCTCTATCTCCTCCTTCGCCCGGACGCCGAAATTGTTTTGGATCAACCGGACTAAATGCGGGTCTTTCAAATACTCGACCGTATTCCACATGGCGGGAATGGTGGTTTTATATAAATTAAATCATACATCGAATTGGGCACCCGGGCCAAACGGCACTCACTGGCAACCCCATCTCGCCTTCCTTGCGGCCCGCACCCAACACTGCATCGGTCGCCTCACGCGTCGCCTCAATCAGCCTGTGACGTCATATCGAAACGATTCCTCAAATGTGCAACAAAATTTTCAAATATGCCATACAATATGCAATAAAACCTTCAAAATGGCATATAATATTTAACAAGATTTTCAAATATGCCATATAATTGCAATAAAAAATCCTCAAATCTGACATAAAACATGCACTAAAAATCCACATATGTGTCCAATAATATGTACTAAAAACCTTCAAATATGCGACATAATATGCAATAATAAATCCTCAAATCTGACATAAAACATCCACTAAAGATCCACATTTGTATCTAATAATATGTACTAAAAACCTTCAAATATGCCATAAAAAATCCTCAAATCTGTCATATAATATGCGATAAAAAACCTTCAAATAAGCCATATAATATGGAATAAAAAAATCCTTAAATATATGTCATAAAACATGCACTAAAAATCCACATATGTGTCCAATAATATGTACTAAAAACCTTCAAATATGCCATATAATATGCAATAATAAATCCTCAAATCTGACATAAAACATCCACTAAAAATCCACATTTGTGTCCAATAATATGTACTAAAACCTTCAAACATGCCATATAATATGCCATAAAAAATCCTTAAAAATGACATAAAGAATGCACTAAAAATCCACATATGTATTAAATAATATGTACTAAAAATCCTCAAATAAGCGATATAATAAACATTAAAAAAATTTTCAAACATTCTATATAATATGCCGTAAAAAAATCCTCAAATCTGTCATATAATATGCGATAAAAAACTTTCTTTTTTTTTTTTTGCTTTGTTTTGCAAGAGTACGGACCTATGAAGTATCAGATTCCATTTTTTAGCATGACTAGAAATTCATAAAGCAGTAAATAACAAGTAACGAGAGCAATAAAGATTGATCGACACAATAAGTACTAAGAATAAAAAATTTCGGTTCGAAAACAGCAAGAGCAAAGGATAACAACAACATGAAGATAAAAAACCTTCAAATATGCCATATAATATGGAATAAAAAATCCTTAAATATGTCATAAAAACATGGACTAAAAATCCACATATATGTCAAATAATATGTACTAAAAAACCTTCAAATATGCCATATAATATGCAAATAAAAAATCCTTAAATATTACATAAAACATGCACTAAAAATTCACACATGTATTAAATAATATGTACTAAAAGTCCTCAAATAAGCGATATAATAAACATTAAAAAAATCTTCAAACATGCTATATAATATGCCGTAAAAAATCCTCAAATCTGTCATATAATATGCGATAAAAAACCTTCAAATAAGCCATATAATATGGAATAAAAAATCCTTAAATATGTCATAAAAACATGCACTAAAAATCCACATATATGTCAAATAATAAGTACTAAAAAACCTTCAAATATGCCATATAATATGCTCAATAAAAAATCCTTAAATATGACATAAAACATGCACTAAAAATTCACATATGTATTATATGCATACAAAAAAATCCTCAAACATACTATATAATATGCCATAAAAAAATCCTAAAATCTGTCATATAATATGCCATAAAAACCCTTAAAATATGCCATATAATATGGAATTTAAAAAATTCTCAAATATGACATAAATCATGCACTAAAAAATTCACAAATGTTGTATCGAATTCCCCAAATATGCAATAAAATTTTCAAATAAGCCATATAATATGCAATAAAAACCCTAAAACAATGTGTAGAGATTAGTACCGTTAATCGATTGTTATTCAGATATCGTGAGATGCGGTCGGGTGTGATGTAGGTTTCTAAAGAAAATACTACCTCATATATTTATAAAAAAGAATTTTTAAGAATAAAAAGTACAATCCCAAACTCAACTTTCGCATTTACGGACAGTTCCAGTAACCCAAGTGATGTCGGAGCGGCATTTGTTTATCAAGATTGAAAAATGTTCCCTCTTTCTCAGATATGTAGCAACTACTCTGCCGAAATAATTGCGATCAATAAATGCATTAACATCCTAAACTCGAACCACCCAGCCCTAGGTGTCTGCACAAATTCCCTTTCTACTCTATTAACCATCAAAAATAAATTTTCCACAAATCCAAGAGATTTTACTTGCTATAAAAAATAGTGCGAGTACAGCAGTTAGTTTTTTGTGGGTCCCAAGTCACTTTCAGAATAGGCCATGCTAGGTTGGTACACGGGCCAAGTATGTGTCTTGCATACTGAGAAAGGTACTCGATGTGCCACACCTAATTAAAGTATGTATGTACATACATGTACGAATTTGAGCTTATATAAATCCAAAATCATTTAAACAGAAATGCAGGAATAGACTTGAGTACATAACATTCTATGTTGGGTAACATTTATTATATAAAAATCAATTTCAAGTACATAAGTAAAATTAGATATATGAAATAAATGAATATAAAAAATAACTTATTTACCTTACAAACCTAGATTAACATTCTCTGTTTGAACTGTCTTTATTTAGAAAAATAACAATATTTCAAAATCACATCAAATTCTCTTGGACGGATATATTGCAGTCTTTATTTTTCCAACTGAATTGTGACATTAATACAGCATTTTTGAAGATTATAAATACACAATGATTGTTTTTTCATAATTTTTTATTGACTTTATTAAAGTCGTATTGAATATATTTAAAAAAATTATATACTTCAGACTGATTTATACTCGATAATTATACAAATATATCTATACAATCTAATAAATTAATAAGATCTTGTTAAGATACTGCAGTAGTAAAACCTAATATGAACGAGATAAAATAAATGTAGTTAGTCTTAGGTTAGGGTTGACTTCAAGCGTAGAAGCATGACTGGCTTCATCCATTAGACGGGCGTCGGAGTTGGGATTGTATAAACTGTACTGTAAGGCGTTGTAGGCCGTGATCCAGCAATGGAGTTGGTTGTTGACGCAGCTAACGACGCCATTGTGCTCAGCTACAATTGACCAAGAAAACATTTGATCAAAATTATACTTCAGTTCAAAACTGTTAAAGGGTTAGTCAAATTGTTCCTGACAAACATTGCAATAAATATTACTTTGTTCACCTTATCTTCATTAATTTCTCAACACCAAGATTTTATTTATAATGTACTTCGGTTATAATAATTAGATGGTGGTAAAGACCTCTTGTTGCCTTCCTTGCTATTTACAATGTTAGTTCAGTGTTATACGTACCCAAGTGTACTAAATTCATTTAATTATACCACTTAGTTCTTTTATGTCAGGTTGTGAAAAAATAGCAATTTGTGTGTTTTTACAAGTAAAAAGCTGAATTTGACAAAAATAAAAGCATTAATAAATAATTATCCTTCTTTCTTCATTGTTGTATTCTTTGTTTTGTATATATGAAAATTATTCTTTTATTTTTTGTCAGAAGGATGTAGTTATCGATCAACAGTTGTTAATTTTAGGAGCGGATTAGGGATGTGGTCCATTGAACAAAACTTTTAGAAGTTTGTTAAGCTTTTAGTTATATATATATATTTTGCCTACCTCAGGGCAAATTTATGAAAAACATATATGAATAAGGGATCTGGAATCAAATGGGCTCGCTGTTAAAAGTTCTTAGTTATGAAACTATAATCTAAAAATTATTAAAAAAAAGAACTTTAGGACTTTAAAAATGAAAAAAGCTCATTATCAATTGAAAATATTTGTTTTCTATTATAAATATAAAGAGGTGTTTTTTTTTTTAAAGTGTTAAATCTTTTTTTTATTTCAACTACAGGGTTATATGAACCCCAGGGGTGCTGGTTTTTAAAAGAGAAAGTGAAAAAAAAAAGCCCATTTGAAAATATGTCGGCCCTGCATTCGAACCCGGGACGGAGAGTGATGAGGCTATGTCAAAAACTGTTGTGGCTACTAACACCTCTTTTAAGTCCTAAAAGTTTTTTTTTAAATTGTTTTATAATTGTTATATTTATTTTTTTATAATTTATATGTATNGTCACAAACAATTTCACTGATGCAAATTCCATCCAGAAATGGCAGGCAATTCACCATCATACGGAAACATTTCTCTCACTTTTATTTATTTTGTTTATATTATTTTTTATAATTATGTTATTCTAGTTTCATAGCTAAAGACTTGTAACAGAGAGTTAAAATTTTCGAAGGTAAAATTTAATTTAAAAAAATTTTTTTTTCTTCATAATTTCGGTAAGTTGTGCCATTTTCAATTTCAATAATTTCTTAAAACATTTTAAATTCTTAATAATTGTTTTACAAAAATAAACTTTGTTGAGAACATGGCTGACAAAAAATGGCAGGTGGTTTTTAAAAGGAAGTCTCAATATAAAAAATAAAAATAAATAAATAAAATTAAATTATATAATTTTGATACTTGCACGACCTTTGTGGGTCTTTTTTTCAATCAAAGAATGTTTTTTATGCATTTTTTAAAAATATTTGTTATCTACCCTCCAATGTATTTATCTATTAGGTCTTTTCTGAGTATAAAGTAGTATTTTTTTGGAAATTTTTAAAAGAAATGTAATTGTCATAAATTTGTTGAAGTGAGGAGTGGTCAAGAATGAAGTATTTTACATAAACACCATTTTCATTTTTTTTTTTTTTTGCACCAACGTTTTGACTTTTATTCAGGTCATCGGGTGAAAAACAAACATATGTTGATTTGAAAAAATAATTTTATAATATAGAAATAAATAATAAAAATTTCAATCAAGCATTTCATTCTCATATAAAGTGCGCAATTCTTGTTGTGTCATGTTTGTTTCTTGTGAAATTGTTGTGAATGTTATTGTATTTTTCATTTTTTACTCACAAATCTATCTGGGTGTAATTAGACCTGCCAATTGTGGTCCACGCCATATTTTTTTTTTTTACCGGTACATATTTTGTTCTTGTAAAGTACATTTGTTAATAAAAGCCACATTACACACTCAGGAAAAAGGCTCAGGCTTACTCCCTATATTGTATTGCCCCTGTATTGTCTATTGTATGGTTTCCGTTTACCCAAAAAATGTATGCTAACTATGTTTTTTCTTGCGCTTTGAAAAAGATTCAGAGGCAGAAGAAGAACAAAATGTTCTTCTTGATGGTCGATGTTGTCTGATCTAGCAATGGCAATAAATATTTTACCAGATGTGTCATATACGAGAAATTCGTATGTGGTAAACATTCAGTGGCGACCAAAAAACCGGAATGAACAAGTTATGTACAAGATTCATAACGGACCAGTTAGGTAATAATTTTGTCAAACCTGCATATGAATTGTTTAAAAATCTTACAATTAAATAAGTAATATAAATAAACTTTTAGCATTCACATATCAATTTTTATTTATAATTTTTATTTAGAAATTGTGAGATGCGGTCTGGTGTGATGTAGGTTTCAGAAAAACATTTTCTTTATCGTGCCAANTGACATTCATACAAATGAGTAATCCTGTAAACGTAAACAGAATATTTTATATAGATTTTTTTTAATGAAAACTTAAAATCCTGCATTATTTTCCGGACAACCCAATACTTTTGACTGAATTTTTAAGTCGAATCTTTCAGTGTCACAGTTTGAAATGTGACTATCTGATGGAAAAATTCACAGCCAAGTCTCACAAACTTAGTTTTTCATGTTCACTCATTTGAATTATACTTATTAATTTTTTCTTTAAGTGTCAAAGCACATGGTGAGGCATATTTGATACTACTTGCTCTGCTCAAGGAAGGTGTCTGCTTGACAGGTGTCCATTAAGGGAAGTTTCACTGTATACTTATTTTTAAAAAATCTTTATTGTACTAGTTTTTATTGATCATATTTGAGGTGTATTGATTTTCTAAATCTTCTAAATACTGTTTTTTTTGCAACGTTTCATCAAATTTATGCTATCGTGATGCTGGCTTTTGTTTTCAAATTTAATCTAATTTAACTAAAATATACAAACAAAATAACTAACGCAGGTGGCAACTATATCACATTTTGGGGAGTTTTTTAATTTTTGTGAGATTTTCTCTTGTGAGATTTTATTTTTGTTAGTGTTGATTGTTTAGTAGTTATGGTAGTTAAATTAGAAGGAAATTAAAAAATAAAAAAAGCTTGCATTTATGATATACATTTGCCAAAATATTGCAAAAATATACACCTAAAATGTAGACAGTAAATAACAGTACAAATCATATCTTTCGTACAAATTGAATATAATTGAAATAAATCTGATATTTTTTCAAAACTTAATGCTTACCATTCAACGATTCAAGTACCTTATTTTATTGTACAAAATACATTCCTGTATTAATTTAGTGTGAGATAATGATACATAAATTTTAATTGCAGTATTCATAAAATGTGATCATTGTGTTATATGAATGTTAGGTGTGCAGGTTTGAAAACAAAAACATAATAATTATATTCATTAAGTGCATTAAAAAAAAAAAAAAAAAAATAATAATAAAAAAAATCCACCAAGGAGAAAAATCATCCCAAGCTGTTATTGGAGGTGTGGTTAAAAATATGGCAAAGCATTCTTCCTGTCTACTCTAACCACTCAGGGTTTTTAGACACCGAGGGCAAAAAGTGAGAGCTTGTCGCTCACCTAATGGACAGGTTGTGTAGAAACAGTACTGTGAGGCGTTGTTGGACGAGATCCAGCTAGAGACTGTGTCGTGGATGCATTCAGCGACTGCATCGTCCCCATCTGTGCAAACCATCTCCTTTGTTTTGGTATTTTGTCGGTTGCACAATTGTTAAGAATAAAATATGGCCACATGTACACAAGAGGAGGGGGAGTTTGATTCGATTTAGAAGCAAAGAATTTCTTTTTGATACAATTTTTTTGTAAAGAAATTTCTTTTGCTCCAAATCAAGAAGGTAATCTTATAAATTTTATACAAAAGTGTGTTCTAACTAACAATTTCACACAGCAATGAATATCATAATAGTGGCCACAAAAATTATATTAATAGATTTATAATTTTTTTGGCAGAAGGAAATAAGCACAAAATTTTGCAAAATGTTATTCTTTGTCTTATAACGTACCCTGAGATGAGCGAGGTCCTCTAATTTGGTGAGATCAGCTAACTCCAGGTACAGCGAATAGATGAGAATCCAAGAATAGACATTGAGAATGCAGAATATTGTCCAAAAAAACACCATCATGATGTTGTAACCGAAGATGAGGTCATTCACGATCGAAAAGAACAGAGAGGCTAGGATGCGTATGATGGAAAAAATTGCAAAACAGTATAACCATGGTACAATTTTTTTCTCATGTTCCTATTGAAAACGTTACATTTAATATTCTGAGTAACCAGATTTTATCAGTGCAATTACCTTTCTCAACGCCATTATTAACATTATGCTCGAAACAAAAACGGTCATTGCTGATATCACAGAAAACAATGCAAACAAGATAAGAGTGTTTCGCACTGGAAATAGAAAAAAATCAAATATTAAGGAAATAAACAAATTTAATGCATTTTAGATATTACCATGTTTGTTTCCAACATAGACAAACTCATAGCTGATGAAGTAGAAACCGTAGTGAGTCGAACCAGGAGCAGCCAAGGCCAGAGAGTATAGATCAAAGACGCCAAATATGACTGTGAATATACTCAGGAACTGGAAATTTATAATAATCAATAAATAAAAACAACTTCTATGTTACATTATGCTTGAAGTGTTAATCATTTGGTGGGTGATAAATATGACCCTGGAAGGAAAACAATGGTTAACTATACATATAAACTTTATGTATATTTTATAGTTTTTACCTTAAGTTAAAACCAATTTTCAAAACGATTATTCATCTTTTTTTTTCTGAGGGTTCGCAACAGCAAAGGTTATATCAACCCTCAGAGTACCGTTGATTTTGAAAAAAAGCCCATTTGTAAGTATGTCGGGTTCGAATGCAGGGCCGCTGGATTCAAACCCGGGAACTTTACCTTTCAGTGATGAGCACTGTGTCAATGCCTAAACTGTAGCGGCCACCGACGCCCCCTCAAAATGATTATTGATTACAGATTTATGAACTCTCATGCTAATAAATACATTCACTCTTAATTCACACATAATGAACACAAAATGAGATATCTATCAGTATGTATACAAATAAAACATCTGTGTTTCCTCCAAAAATTGGAACAGAAGTCTCAAATACTTCTGCCGTGCTCAAGCACAACTCTCAAATAGAGCGGCATTCCTACACGCTCTCCATATGGAGCCAAGGAATGGCACCCTTCAATTAAGAGGGACAGATTCTTTACACATATTACACAAATAACCTAGTACTCAATATTCCACCATCGACCTTCTCACAATACACATTCTAGCTAATAAATATTAGCACTACAATAAAACAACCCTGTGCCAAGAAAAGGCACCCTTCAATTAAGTAACAGATCAAGCAACCTTTCTCTACATGTTTGATGCATATTCAGGCATTAGACCAAAAATTTCAACCTTGTATGGCTTATAGTTAAGTGCATGAGGATGATCCTTTTCCTACAAGTCGGGCCCTCCGAGTACCACCTGGGCTTTCAATTTTTAAACTGAGTTCTTAACTTTCTAGATATTAGTATAGACAATTAAGTTTTGTCATCAATTTTCTAATTGTTATTACTATCATTATATTAATGTTTTGCTTACCAAAGAATAAGTTCCAGCGATCAGGGCACCCCTTTGGATATCGAGGAAGTAAGCATCCTGCACCAATGGCCTCCGGTACCAGGGGATCTTCAGTGATCTGAGCGAACGGGTTGATTTGAGATTTGAAGTCGATCTGGTTACATGGGAGTAAATGCTTGGTGTCCCCGTACCTGGGTTCGTCAACACTGCCATTTAATGCCTAAAAGAAAAAAGTGATAACAGAAGTCATAACATTTTCTCCTATAAATAATATTAAAAAAAGAGACAGATTCTAGTCCATTGTTATTAATAATGCTTAGTTCCTTTTTTTTTGTATTGTGTTTATTTACAGTTAAATAAAACTTCGTTACTATTAATTATTCTTTTTTGTAAGGACTTGGTTGAAATGAAAAAGTCAGTCACGAGCGAGATTCAAACCCACAAACTTCGAATCCTGCTCATAACACTGACTTTTTCATTTCAACCAAGAACTTATATAAAAAGAATAATTAATTGAAAGAAGTAATTTGGTCAATCAGACCACTAAACATAACGGATTATTCCTATTATAATTTTTTAAAATATGCATTGTCAAAATACATACAACAATGGTAAAAACAAAATGAATTGAAATGTGATTAACTCAATCCATTCCATCTATCAGTCTGCTTTATCATTTAAGGTAGGTGTGATATTTATGTACACTCTGGATCAAGTTATGGTCCTGAAGAATAAAGCAAATTCAGTTGCTACTGCCAAGGTCGGTAATTTTGGGACAGAGTCGGTCTTCAAGGAAATTTGAGATCGCCTGTAAAAACTTAAATATGTCAATCTGTAGATATATTTAAGGATGTTTCGCTCTGATGATGACCTTAAAATAGGTCGAAAGCTTTGCATTAACAACTGAAGATGATCTCAATAAAGATCGAAACGTTGGCACTATGAAGAAAATGTTTTTCTGAAACCTACGTCACACCAGACCGCATCTCACGATTTCCAAATAATCATTAACAACTGAATTTCCTTCTTCATTCAAGATCATACCTTCATCCTCGAAAGCGAAAAAGTGTACTAAAACCAGAAACTCATGTGTTATTTATTGTTATATGGACAAAATGTATTCCTTAAAAGTAAGCCCATAATTTTGTCATCTTTGTCTTTTGATTCTTGTCAGATTTCTAAATCAGTCTGCCTACACTGTGCCCATACCATGGACACATCTTTGAATAGATAACAACCACGCCAGATATAAAAAAATAAAATATATATTGTAAAAACAGTCATTTTCTTGCCAGCCCAATAAAAAAAGAAGAAAAAAAACTGTGGAAATAATTTATTGAACAATGGAAACTTGATTTGTATCTTTATATTAGCAATTCTTTCTAATCTTGTGAGAGTAAACACTGAACATAAATAAGACCGGGTACGTCCCTGTAGTAAAATTCACCTCAAAACCCAAATTTATGTCAACACATTATTAGTGCCTTCATAAAATTTAAGTTGTTACGGCGTTCAATGAGGAAAATAAAGCTTTGGTTAAGTTGTTGATTGGCACGTACACAATTGACGTACACAATGAATTAATTTACCGATGAAATAAAAAATCACTCGTTTACAAATTTATTGTACGATCTTGAACGACAAACAGACGGAATTTCTTTTAAAAAAATAAAAATTTTATATATTCGTTAAACTCAGCATTTTGTCAATCAAAGTGTTACTGTATATACAAATGCCCAAAAGGATCAAAACTAAAAATATGCACTTGTTTAAAATTAAATCTATATTTGAATAATTCTATTAATAAATAAAATAATTCACGGGATAAATTTGAAATTACCTGTATTTTTTTTTTTTAAGTACGAAAACAAAAATAGGCGTGACCTGTGTATTATTTATTTACTGGGGTTGGGCCGATCTCACTTTCTGAGCTGAGTGAATTAATTGGCCCGACAGACTGAAGCGACATTGACGGTATCTGTTTGAAGCTTATATAAACGTCATCATTGGTAAAATCGGTTCATGTTTCATGCTTAATGTTTTATGGTTCATGTTTCCGTTGAAATGTAATCCCTTGCGCCCTATTCCCTAAATGGGCCGATATGGGGCTGCTTCCCTCGCAGCTTGCTTCCGCCGTGACCTGCTTTCATGCTGCTGAGAAGAACCTACTTTGCTTCCTGCTTCCGTTTCCTTGCTTCCTTTTTTCGTTTTATTTGAAATTTACAACTAGAGAATTAACTACAATAAGCAAATATAATGCTGAAAAATAATAATTGACTTGCATTGTCATGTGAGGAAAAGTCATTCACTAGTGACACTCCGATGTAGGTAAACCAAAGTTAAACACTTGTCACTCGCAGTCACTCGAATTAAGATCACGAGGCCAATGTTTCAGTCGGTGGTGTGGAGTATCGGGAAGTGTCGTAGAGGAAAGTTTGATTTCTAAGGGTCCTGTGAATGAAGAGAGGAATTTTTTTTTAAACGAGAGCTCGTAACAGCAGAGGTCATATAAACCCTCAGGGTGCAGGTGTTTTTGAAAAAAGCCTATTTGTAAGTATGTCAGGTTCGAATGCAGCTGGATTTGAACCCGGAATCTTTACCTTACAGTGATGTGCGCCGTGTCAACGATAAACCGTTGCGGCCACCGGCGCTCCAGAGGAATTTGTATCTTGATTTGATGGCTTGGGAAACATAAGGGATATTTAGATCATGGTGAAGGGAACGATTGGACATATAGAAAGGGGCATTTGTAATACAACGGAGGGTTTTGGTCTGGACTGAATTCTATAGGAGTTGGGTACTTTGGCTGTGCCTCATATTCCCATGTCCATGTTGATTTTTTTTTAAATTTTTTATATTTATTTTTGGAATCAGATGGTTGCCAGAGCCACTTGCAATATCATATAATAATGTACAATGGGTTCAAAATAACAAATAAAAACAAGAATAACAAATAAATTAATTAATACAATAATTACAACTATTATTACAACCCTTATTTTAATATAATCATACTATTTTTTGTATTATTCAAGAAGTTTTCTTTTGCAAAGATCACCTCGCTAGAACAGGAGATTATTATATTTGAGTATCCTCTCATATTTCCCATTACGTTTTTAATAGCACTCAGCATCTTCCTCCTTTCTCTTCGTAGAGTGGAGACATCATGATTATACGTTCTAATGTTTCTATGCTACCGCACGTGCACTTTTCGTCTTGTACCTGATTTATCTTTTTTAAGTAATATTTAAACACACCGTGATTGTACCTAACACGTCGCTTTTTTAAGAGTAATCGTCGAAAACCAGGGTGTTGTCGAATGGCAGGCAACATTTTTTTTCCATGTCGGTAATGGGTGTAATAGATTAGTCTTTTACTTTTAAGAGATAGTTTGGATCGTCTGTCTAAAAGTCGAGAAAGTATCGTCTATTGAGTAATTGTTTAAGTCTAGTATGCTGATTCCACGTGAGGCGCATGTCGATCCTAAGTAGCGATCACGTTTGCCGTGGGTTGAGGAACACTATTGAGATATTTTTATTCTCCACTTTTTAAGCCAAGGCTCACTGATGGTAAGGTGAGACTCTAAGGAACGAACGGCAAAGACAGGATCATTGTGGGTAGACAGGATTGCAGTGTCATCTGCAAATGTGAACAAGTATTTGAGTGATTAGGTATGTCTGCAGTATACATTAAATAAAGGATTGGACCAAGCACACTACCTTGGGGGATTTCTGCACGGACAGGATGGTTGGGCGATGGGAAGAACCGTATATTACCCAGCAATAACGGCCGGCAAGGTAGGACTTTAGGATAAGTAGTCGGTAGTAGGGAGGATGCCTTTGAGTTTACACAGCAACCCAGTATGGCAGACCAGATCGAATACATAAGCAACGTCGAGAAAGACAGCTGGACAATACTGTTTTTCCCAAAGGAGGATGCGATAACGTCTATAATACGGTAGCATTGTTGAACCGTAGAATGGTGATGTCGATGATTGATGATCAGGTATTAATTGAAGGGAATTAAGTATGGGATAAAGATGTTGTATGAGGAGTTTTTCAAGGAACTTTCCCATTAAGGGGAGGAGACCTATAGTAGTACTATAGGGCGAGACGTTGTGCAGTGGTTTGTGGGGTTTTGGGATCATGTTAATTGAGGCAAATTTCTATATGGTTGGTAAATGTGTGGTTCTTAGGACGGAGTTTTGCAAGTGGGTAAGGAAGACATGGGCTTAAGATTAAGTCATAACAGGGGGATTTTTTACGAGGAAGTTTGCGTGTGAAGTGCGTTTGATATCAAATGATAATGCTTTGGGGCGAGTTCAAGTGGCAGAGGTTTGTCTACTTCAGGTTCGACTTGTGGAGTAAACGTTTTGTACAGTATTATTATGCATGTATTTCGTGCGTAAAATTCGATGTTACCATGCCCTACTCAAAGATGTTACTTTCAGTTTAACTTTCTTTCAATTTAAAATCACGGAAGTGAAATCCGCCAGCTGCCGGTAGAAAATCTCTACAGAAGGGGGTTTTCATTATCTAATTATTTATTGCAAGTAAAAAAAATATATCTAAGGTGTGAAAATACTTATCACTATAAGTATGATTTCTGGTAAAATCCTAAGAAATTCTATCCCATTCAACAAGAACAGCCGACTTTTCTATGGTGTTAGGACCTGGGTTTCGCCGTTTTACTCGTCTTATGTTGGTCCCAAATGTGATTGGGTTCAATTCTGGATCGAGGTGGCAAGCACTCAATTCCAACTCATTCAGGTATTCATCCGCAATACGTGCTCTATGTGGCCTGGCATTATCCTCCATTAGCCAAAATCAATGTGAGGAGGGATGGCAGTACATGTTCTTCAATTATGTCAGGTAAGTACCTCTGTGAAGTTGGAGATCTTCCTCGCACAACAACCAATCGGTGCGGGCGTCCAAGGAATGCCACCCCCCAGAACATCAATAATCCACCGTGGAGTACACCTGACGAACCTCATACCTTTCTCCTGAGCGTCTCCATATGAAATTACACCCATCTGAAGATATGAGACCAAATCGTCTAGGTGTTAGGATCTCTGTTTCGCAATTGTACTCGTCGGTCAAGTTAGTCCCAACTATGATTGGGTTCAAATCTGGATCGAGGTGGCCACACAAAGCATTCTATTCCAAACTCATTCGGGTATTCATCCACAATATGTGCTCCTGGCATTATCCTCAATTAGCCAGAACCTCTCACCTATATGAGGAGCAAGTGGCTTCACGTTCTTCGATTATGTCTTGTAACTACCTCTGTGAAGTTAGAGATCTTCCTCACACAACAGCCAATTCGTCCAAGGAAATGTCACCCCAGGACATCAATGACCCACCGTGGAATACCACCGGAGGGGCGTACCTTTCTCCTAAGCCTCTCCATAGGAAATTACACCCAAAAGAAGATTTGAGGGCAACTCTCATCTCACCTGTAAAGAGAACTCGTCCCCAATCTTCCAGTGTCCAATTCACACGTGCGAATTGAAGCCTGGCCATTTTCTGAGCTGAGGTAAGAAAAGGTCCACGAGTTGGGCCAAGCCCTGAGGTTAAATTGAGCATTCTTCTTACAGTGCTGGAGGAAATCAAAACATTTCAGACTTGTCTTACCAGATCTCTTATCTCATTTCCCGTAATGCTGCGGATTTGTAGAGCCTGATGACGGATGAATCTATCGTCTTTCTCGTCCATAGGTCGACCCTGTCCTGGTCATTTAGTGTGAAACGCCGTTTCTCTGAAATGCCGAAGAACCTTTTCACCACCCCTTCTTTTCACCTAAGTTTGGTGACAAGAGCAATGAAAAGGTATTTGGCATCGATTGAATATGTACGTATTCAAAATTGCGCTGTTAGCTGTCTGTGAAGGCTGATCACGAACCGTCATTTTAGAACAATATTTTGTTTCTTGTTTTTTTTCCTTTTTGTTAGTACTTACTTTCTTAGCATTTCTCGCTATAATTACTTTTACGGCAGCAGAAAAACCAAGTTTTGTCGCTGATTGCAATTGGAACGAGCATTTTCTAAAATAGTACAATTTTAACATGATAACTGGAAGGTCGTTCGATTGTTGAAGCAACCATGGAGGCGCCTCTCTTAAAATGCCAACGAAAAACCCTTCTCTCTTTTGTGAATTTTCGAATTACCGGAAGATCCCGTCGGCCTTTTGTAGCCGGTCCCACAGAAAGGAAACGAGAGGATTTCTGATAATAGCAAAAGGAAGAGGGCCAATTACAATGGAGATAAGGGAATCTCGGCATTTTTTTCTGGCCGTTCGCCTGGGGGGTGGAGTTAATTGTGAGCTCGTCTATTAAAGGGGTTCATATTAAGACCAAAGCCCCCCCGGCTTCGTCGAAACCCTTCTCGCGATCACTCCTCCGATACTATCCGGACGTGCTTACGCATATGTTTGAGGAGAACTTCAATTTAATCAATGTCCTGATTACAAACACTTCATTTGCATTTTAAGGGCGAAGAATTTTTATTACTTTTCCCATATGATTAATCGGACCTACTCAGAACGTCATCTTTGGTAAATAATAGACGTTCCGTGCTATACCCAAATAAAAAATGTCTTCTGCGTTACTTCCTTTATACACAATTTACGTCAAATAACGTATTCGACATTTTTAGTCTGTTGATCAAACTTATGACTATAATCTCCTGAGCTTATTCGGCTTCTTTATTATTATTAATTGATCATAGATGTCTCACAGCAAGGCATCAGATTCACATACTCCAAATTGTGTTCTGTCAGAACGTTTCAACAACTTCAGCAGCGCTCGTGTTTATACATGGAAGTTGAATTTTCAAGGTAAGTGTGAGAACCTCTGGACCTGGTGTTGTTTTGGGTCAACATGACAGTCGTCATGCTAGGTCATCTCTGGCCATGGCGTCAAACAAATATCCACAACATTCTCACTCTT